CTCGGTCATCTTGAGCGACTTGGGCAAATTGAGCCAAAGCTGGAGCCCAATCGCGGGCTTGGTTGCGGCTCGCAGGCATCTCCGAGTGGACGATGCCGCGGCCTGGGCACATCCACTGGAGGTCACCAGGCGCGAGCTCGCCGCGGTGGCCGCAAAAGTCTTCGTGAAGCATCGTGCCGGGCGAGTGCGGCAAGAGATACGTGATGGTCTCAAAGCCGCGGTGCGGGTGGTCGGGAAACCCGCCGGGGAGCTGCACGTGGAACTCGTCGAGCATCAAGAACGGGTCGAGGCGGCGCAGCATCGGGTGACCAATGGACCGGCGCACGGTCGCGCCGACACCTTCGCGCTGGGCCACCGAGACAAAGCTCTTGGAAATAGATCGGGACGTGAACATACTGGTAAATTGAAGAATGAGCTGGACGAAGAATGACAAGCAAAATATGCCTGGAAGATGCTTCCACCGTCAACCAACGCCTGTGATTGGCTCCAATGGATGCCGCGCCGTGCAGTGATTGGTGCATTTCAACTACAACGACGGAGGAAGTATTTTCCAGCCTCGGGCGAATAGCGTCGCCATGCTTGGTAAGAAGCTCGAACGTGGCCTACAGGACGACGCTTCCGGAGGGGGTCGAGAAGACATAGATCTTGCTCGTTATTGCTAAGCTCTGAAACGAGCAGGGGAAAATCGTCTCTACAACTTGGACGCGTAGTACGTCCGCAGCTTGTCGCTTTTCCGAAGAGCAGCCACGAGCGCCTGGAGCTTGGGGTACGCTTGAGTCGACACGGTGATTTGGCCTGGAAAGCCCGCGACGACGTTGTCAAAGAGGTCAAGGAGGTAAATGTCAGCGAACGAGAGCGCCTCGCCGGCAAAGTAGGCGCCAACGAGCCGCCGCTCGAGCGCCGCCAGCGCCGTCGGCAGCACGTGCTGGTTCACGTGCGCAAGCTTCTTTGCGCGCATGTCGGCGTCCATTTTGGCGTACACGACGGGGCAGACTTCCGAGTAGACATCGCTGATGGCGTCGACGACGCTGTCGGCCGCGAGTGCGAGTAGCGCGTCACCTGGGTACAGGCCAACACGCTTGGCTACGTAGCGCGCGATCGCAATGCTCTGCGCAAACACCTTGCCGTCCACGTGGAGCGTCGGCACTTGGCCGAACGGAAGGTCCAGGTAGGCTTTCGTCGCAAAGTACTCTCGGAACGAGTAGCGCGTCTCGCTGAGCGGAAGGTCGCCGTACGCGCAGAGTAGCCGCGTGAGCTCGCCCCGCGCAGGGATGTTGAAGTAGTTGAGGTGGAGCTCCGTCGCCATCTCGTGCTGTCTTGACGACGATCTTGTTGAATATGAGCTTGAGTATACCATAGAGAACCTGGTATTGTACATTGGACAACGAGCTTAGTGCAAAGTCAGATCTTTAGACAGAGTCTGGTCACGGACACGGGTCGCGGGCATAATAGCTATTATGTACCCCTGGTCGGGGTGGAGCGAATAAAAGCCAAGCGTGGTCTCGACAGCTGTGGAGGACGCACTCGTTGGCGGCGCCTGTGGTCAACTGCAAATGTATGTAGTTTGTCGAGCTACCACCAAGTCTACACCAGGGACTGCCCCATCTCCGCATAATTCCATGCACTGCAGCAGTCGTGCACGCCTTCGGGATGGACGTTCCGTGCATAGGGCATGTATTTGGATCGCAGGACGAGCGAGACATGAAAATCGTTTCGACGTCGCCATTCGACTACGATCTTAGTGCTTGGTCGCGTCGTCAAGGATCGAGTAGTAGAACGAGGCGGGCTTGGCCGGCGGCGCGTGCTTTTCGAGCACACGGGCCAAATGCAAGAGCTCGTGCTCGTTGTAGTGGAAGGTCTGCAGCAGCATCGAGAGAGGCAGCTTGGCGTCGGCCGAGTACCCGACCGGTACCGTCATTGACGGAATGCCGGCAAAGTTGCCGAGAATGATGTAGCGCATGAGCGCAATCGTTAAACTCAGGTCGCTCAGGCCCGACTCGAAGACGTCCGGGGTCAACGCCGGCGCAGCGACGCCTGTCGTCGGCGTCAGCAAGACGTCAATCGACTGGAAGAGCTCTTTCGTGACGCGCATGGCGTAGCCTCGAATGCGCTGCGCCGCGACAAAGTCCATGCTCGTAAACACGCTGCGGCTAAACTGGAGCGTGATCTGAACCTCGGGCGAGAACGACGCGATCTTGTCGTAATGCGCATCGGCGTTGAGCGCCTCTTCGCTCACGATCGTGACCGAGTGGCTGAAATGAATCGCCTGCAAGTTGGGAATCACCACGTCGACAAGCGTCGCACCAAGCGACTCGAGGTGCCGCGCCGTGGCCCAGAATGCCGCAACGATCTCGGGGTCCGTGCCTTGGAGGTACTCGCGGAAGATGCCGACGCGCACGCCTTGGAGGGCCGTCGATTCGAGCGCGGTCGCATCAATGTGCACGGGCGGCTGGAGCTGGCTCATCGGCAGCGTTGCCTCGGGCCCCGACATGATGGCATACGCCAGAGCGGCGTCTTGGACGGATCCAGCGATCGGCCCCACATACGCCAAGCTCGGCGACGCGGGAAAGTAGCACGGGATGCGCTGGTAGCTGGGCTTCAAGCCCACGACGCCGCAGAGACCGGCGGGGATGCGGATCGAGCCGCCGCCGTCAACGCCGATCGCAAGCGGCACCAAGCCCGCGGCGACGGCCGCCGCCGACCCGCTCGAGGAACCGCCCGTCATGTGGTTTTGATTGTACGGGTTGCGCACAGTGCCATGTGACGGGTTGATGCCGGTCGTGCCGAGACCGCACTCGTGCATGTTGGTCTTGCCGACGAAGAGCGCGCCAGCCGCCCGGAGACGCGCAATCGGCGGTGCATCAAGCGCCACGGGGCCGTTGAGGGGACCGAGAAAGCCCGTGCCGTACGTCGAGTTGTAACCTGCGAGGTCGACCTAAGTACGACGTGGTCGGTGAGACAAGAGATGGGCGGCAGCATAAACCTCGTCTTTGACGGCAACGGGCACGCCATCCAGCACGCCCATCGGCTTTCCCGCAGCGTACCGCGCTGTCGACGCGGCGGCTTCGCGCAGAACTTCGTCGGTTTTGACTTCAATGAACGCACGCAGAGGGACGGGCCGGGCATCCGACTCGGCGATCGCGGCCAAAACGGCTTTCGCCACCTGCAGCGGCGTCACGGCGCCCGCCTTGTACTTGTCCGTGTAATCCTGGATCGTCCAGCGCTGGAAGGCTAGGTTCTCGCCAATGGGCGCAAACGTGAGATCGTGAACGTCAAACCCGGCGGCCTTGGCGTCGTGGGCCGCACGCTCGTCGGCGCCAAGCACGTGCACGGGGTAGTACATGGGCGAGTCGGTCACGGTTGACGCAAACTCGCGCACGGCAATGACGTCGTTGTCGGCGCGGAGCACTTGAAGCACGAGGCGGCCGATCACAGGCACGCGCGTGAGCTGCGCAAAGAGGCGGATGCCGACGCCCGACAAGCGCGGGCTCACGATGGCGCGGAGGTCCATGGTGTCGCCTGGGAACTTGGCGGCGATGGCGTCCGAGGAGCCGATGAGCTCATCGCGCGTCGCGAGAACGAGGATCGCGACGACGGCCACGGCGATAGCACTCGACCACTGCATCTTGCCAAATGACCGCAGATCGCAACGCGATCCAGGACGGATGACACGGGGCTTTTAAATCGCAACGCGATCCAGGACGGATGACACGGGCTTTCAACCCGTTGACAAGCGATGGCGTCGCCCCGCCGCCGACCAGCGTCGGCTATCCGGATGCGGCGTCGAAGGGACGGTGTGTCGACTCGACAACGTTGTCCTCGACAGCGAAGATGTACGAACACGACAAATGCTCCGACCACTGCTTCCCCTTACTGCTGTGGATTGTCATTGCGCAGCATCACGTCGAGGCCCACGGCTTGCGTCCGGCATTCATCGTTACGGAGAAAAGCAGCAGCGATTAGGGTTGCTGCGTATTTTTGACATAATTATTGTGGGGACTCTGACATCGATTGTGCACGATCGCACGGACGCGCGATCAGATGAACACGAGTCGACGACTGAAAGTGGCTGACCATTGTGCTCGGACCCAACTCTTTTCATTTTCTACTTTTCGCCGGCGCGGCCCACTAAGAACTCAAGGGCGACAAACAGATAGTAGTGTTGTGCAACGGAATGATTAGATAGCATTTTACGACAACTAGGTGTTTACACATTTCGGCTTACATGGCCGACGCCAGATACAAGGCCCAGGCGCGCGTGAGGCCGTCGTCCATGGGCACTTTCTGCAGCATCTCGAGCGCGACGTCGGCGTTGACACTGGCATAGTTGAGGTACAAAAGCGACGCCCACGCGTTGTCGACTTGCTTCTTGGCAATGAGCGGGAGCGGCGCGAGGACTTCGTCCCACTCTTCCTGCACAAACTTCTTGGTGCGGACGTACTCGGTCACGGGCGTCGTCGGGATCATTTGGATGCCGTGGATGCAGTACTTTTCAGCACTGAACCACGTGGCGTAGTCGGCCTTGTTGTCAAAGAAGATGCCGAGCACCTTGTTCGGACGCATCTCGATCGGCTGCACGACGTTGCTCGAGTCCATGAGGAAGTACGTCTTGACGACGCGTGCGTTGAGCGTCAGAAGCAGCTGGCCGAGGCCCGCCATCGGACTGTTCTTGGTCACGCTGCCAAAGAGCGCCATGCCGTAATGGAAGTTGATGTCTTCGGACGAGCTCTCTTGGTCCTTCCCGTCCGCGAGCGCCGTCACGCCGTGCGAGTACGAGTGCCCCTTGTACCAATCAAACATGCGGAAGGTCGGGAACGCCTTGTCGCCGCTGTCGGCGTTGGCCACGTCACGCACCAGCGTCGCGGCCCGGGCATTGAGGTCCCCGAGGCGCAACCAGCTCGGGTGCACCTTGTTGGCAATCGCGGCGGTCGCGATCCAGTACCCGTAGTGATAATGGTGGTCGTTGTACATGGTGTTGCCAAAGTCGGCGTTGAGGTCTTTCTTGACAAAGCCCTCGGAGCTCACAATGCCCTTGTACACGCTGTCGTACACGAGCGGGTACGTCCACGAATTGTCGATGAACGGCGCGAGGACGGTCTCGAGCTTCTTCTGGCAGCTGCGCAAGAGCGCCGTGTCGTCGCCGACCACCGCCTTGTCGGACGCAATGAGGCAGAGCGATGCGTACTTTTGGGCCGCCTTGCCGTTAAAGTAGTACGAGCCACCGATCGCGAGGTTCCAGGGCGCCGCAATGTCCGCTTGAAGGGCCTTGAGCACGCTCGGTACGCGCGCCTTGGACGGCGACTGCCGCGGGAAGAACGACGCAGGCACAAGGTCCTTCTCGTCAAAGCGCCAGCTCTCCTTGGTCACGAGCGCAAAGAGCTTGCCACGCGTCGTCGACTCGAGCGCGAGGCCCGTGGCGTGGAGTCGCGTCGCGGACGACGGCGATAGCGTATCGATATGGTGCTGCAGCCCAAAGTGCAAGAGACCCTTGCTGCACGCGCCTTCGGTCGCCCACTTGAACGCGTAGCTGCTTGTCGTTGTCGTGACGCTGCCACCGTGGACGATGCAGTCGGCGTACGCGTCGTAGTCGCTGCCATCGCTGCCCTTGGAGGCCAGCGCCAGGCGCACGGTCGTGCCTGTCGCGGGGCCCGTCGCCGTGAGCTCGGTCGACGACGTGAGCGACCACGAGAGAGGCGACGAGGCGTAGAGCACCCACACCATGCCGTTGCCCATCGTGAGCGCGAGCTTGGAGGCGGATGCAAACGACGCGCCGGCCGTGACGGCCTGGCCGTTCACGCGCGTGATACCGTGCGTCGTCGTGAGGCGGGGCGTGAGGCCATGGTACTTGGCGCTGACGTACGCCATGCCGCTCACGAAGCTCGACTCGACGCTCTTGCCACCATAGGACGCTGTGACGGTCACGCCGAGGTCGTCCCACTTGCGGATCTGGAACGGCGTCGCGCCCGACGCTTTGAGCTCGGTGGCCGAGACGAAGAGGTCGTTGCCGATACCGTGGAGGTAGTAGCGCGGCGCCTTGCCGTTGCCCGAGGAGCCGCCAAAGACGCGGCTCGACGGCGGGTACGAGACGCCGATCGCATCGCGGTGCATGGCAACTGCGTACGGGTTGGCCCACGCGCGCAGCTCGGCGTTGTCCTTTCCGGCGCTAATGAGGTTGCCCCACCAGCGGTTCGTCGGGATCGGCATGTCCTTGATCGACGCGTGCAGGTTGCGCGGCGGCGCGAGCCACGACTGGTCCGTCGACGTACGGTACATGGACGCGAGCGGGTCGGATCCGTTCGCAGCGACGGCGACGGGGTCCGGGCGCGAGCTCGAGCTGCTGCTGTTGTCGCCCTTGGGCGAGTCAAAGCTGATGGGATGGCCGAGCGCGCCGCTGCCGTGCGACGGGTGATAGGCTGCCACGAGAGGCGCGAGTAGCGCAGCGAGCGCGACGACAAAGACCATAGCTCGCTTCTGTACAGTCGAGTGGTCGAGGCTGGGCAATTTGAACAATGAGCTTCGGACCCGCCTTTGCAGGACGACAAAGGTACAGGCAGCGGCCGATCCATGATCAGGCGCGGGGTCGCTTGCGAGTTGTCATACGAGTGCAGAAGCTGCACATGGTCGCCGTGCGTAATGCTGCTGGGCAGCGGCAGATGGCGGCGACGGCCTTCCGACCGCCCAGAGCGGCGAGTTCGTCCAACGCAGCATGCAGCTGATGCGAACCCCAAATGGCTTTTCTGAAGGACCCACAGATCCAGTGCCAACACCGGATTGTAGGGGCCCTAAAAAGCGTTTTTGACCACCCCTCGAAAAGGCAAATGGCAATCATGGTGCTGCATCGGACTCTGTTCTCTGTGTGCTCTGTGTGTAGGCTACGTAATAGCCCTTGGTAATAGTAAGGACGTATGTTTATGTCCTTGGCTGTAGTAACATGCATGCGCGCCACTTGCTCACAGACCCCTCGCGATGGGGCTATCTACGTCAGTGTCCAAACGACTCAATAATACCGAGCGCGGGAACGGCGCTTCAGTGGATCGTCTGCGGCCAGACACGGTGATGACCAGATAGACAGCACCGACAAGATGAATGTGGCAACCTCTGTTGTAGGTGCAGCTCGGCTGCGTCAACAGGTGGGAGCACACGTCGACCACCACCTCACTACCTTCATGGAGCGGCGACAGCCTGTCGCGTTCGACAACCCAGCAATGACGGCGAGCGGCAAAGCACCAACACGTATTTCTTGCATAGAGCGTCGTAGTGCGACTGCAGTCGACTGCGAGGGTGTTTTCGCTCTAGTGCCACATCGTCACCGGCTCGCACGCTGATGTCGCGGATCGTCAAGTAGGGGGCCCTATCTAAAAAGTCGTGCGAAATGGCAAAAAAACAGCAGAGATTCAGACAGCGGAGCGAACATGGGCCGGCGCAACCTTCGCTCGTCTCGGACGTCGTCGGGGCCGAGCCTCGCTGCAAGCATGCGATCGTCAAGGAAGGCTACGCTGCGGCCACATGCCAAGCCGGCCGCGGCTTCGGCCCTCTCGCCCCGAGCTCCGAAGCGCGTACGTGGCACGACAAATCCCATGGCGTTGCCGAACAGGTGTCAGTGTAGTCTAGACAAACGGATATGAATGCTACGGTTCTCAAGACGCTGGTGACGAAGAGCAGTGCTATGCCGGCAGCCTCCCCACATGAAAAGGCGATGCGTGGCCAGTCTCGGAACGTTCTCGCCAAGCCACTTCCAAAGGGCGTCCAGTACGTGGATGCCGACTACAGCAGCGGCACAGACGTGGAAGAAGACGACGCTGATGAGCGCGTCTTATCCGGCTTTCCGCCCGCGCTGCGCACGCTCGAGAAGGACACGGCGCTCTTAAAGAAGCATTATCCCAGTGCGACGGCCACTCCTCTCACGAGCGCATCTTGCTATCATACTGCGTCTGCGTGTAGGTATTTCCACGGTCGTTGTCCAGCAGACGCTCATCGACACCATTCCCAAGTGCGACGACCAGCACTCGTACTTTGCCAGCCTCGTCGACGCCAGTGCGCGCCTCGAAGCGCTGCAGGAAGAAGCGCTTCAATCCCGACGCAGCACCTTGCGCTCCGTGGAGACCTCGTAATCCTCCACCATTGCAAGCAAGCTATTATAGCAAGCATGACGAGTTACCTTTCATATCAGAGAACGCGTATGTCGCCAAGGATCCGGTCATACCATCTGTCATCTCACCTTGATTGCCATTGTCCTTCCATGCCTCTTCGTTCCCGTCGCATGGGCGTCGCGAAGTGGTCCATGTGGAGCAAGCGGCGCGGCAGAACGACGACGACCCCCAGGCGTGGGATTCGAAAGAGACAGACCCTCGTGCTTGGAGATTGAGGGGGTTGCCACGCGTGGGGGTAGGGGTCGTGACATGGTGGACTAATTTTAACTCGCCTGACACGATGGACAACGAGAGTATGTCGGCCGACGAAGACAGCGCCACCGACGACTCGGTGCCGCTGAACTTTCTCCTCGGCGACCGCGTTCGCTTCTACAGAAATGCGTCGGGTCCGATCAAGGTGGTTGCGGTACGTCGTGTGAGATTGCTTGTACGGGGAGGACAATGAACGACGACCTGTAGCAACCCCGGCCACGCACCCCGACCGACTTTACAGACATGAGCAAGCGCGAGCGTGAAGTCCGAGCCAAGATGGTGCTGGACCCCATCAATGGGATGCGAACGTTCCTGACGGCCGTCAAGATGGACGAGGCCCCGGCGCCGTCGACGTCACCATCGCCACAACCCACGTCCGCCGCGTCGTCGTCGTATCTCAGCTCAACTGCATGAATTGTAGTCGCTCGTTCCAATCCCGAGCGGAGCGCAAGCAGCGTGAGAAGCAGCGGCTGCAGGTCCAGCGGCTGCAGACATCCATTTCCTGGAAAGGCGACAAGGACGAGACTCTTGCGCAGGATCGCGGCTTGGATACGTCCCATGGGTACATGCGCCCCAAAGCGTTTTTGCCCGTCGCGATCTCGAGAGCACCGACACTGCACAGCGTCGACAAGCTCGCAGGTCGGCACTACTACAGCGGACGCCTCTTCCCACGCCATGTACTAGTCATCCAAATCGAGGTCGAGAAGGCGCGGGCCAAGGTCGACTGGCGCTTGCACCACGCCCAGCGCGTACTGCAGGTCACGAAAGCCCAGCAAGAATATGCCCAACAAGTGCTTTCGCAAGCGGGCACGGCCCGCGAACGGGAAAAGAACCGCAAGTACGTTGTTCATGTAGCATCAACACTTTGCCGATAACGCTCGTAGACACTTGATGGAGGCCAAGCGCAAGGAGATCGAGCGGCGAAAGCACGAGCAAGGGCTCGAGCTGGCCGCCGCCAAGCTCGAGAAGGAGCAGTGCCTCAACGACCTACACCGCGACGTGGACGAGCGCAACCGAGTGGCCAAGATGCGCAAGGTACGACCGATCCCACTCTTTTTGTATGCATTAAGGTCGAATGCACGCAATTATAGGGCAACATGGTGAGCAAGCTCAAGGACCGCGTTGAGTACTTTCAGCGCAAAGGCATGAATGGCCGCGTCTCGAACCAGTACAAGCTGCAAGACGACGTACTCGACGCCGGCGACGACGTACCGCTACCGCCCGCGGACGCGCCTACTCTGAGCTCGTTCAAGCCCAGTCGCCGACGGCCCCGGGACAAGTACACGATCGACGTCACTGCCCGGCCCAAGCCTGTGTTTGGCGGCGGGTTCCACGTCGAGCCGGCCAAGTGCCAGTACAGCGATGACGAGAACGACGCGAACGAGAGCGACTGGGAAGTATCCAAGGCCGGCGATATACAGCATACAGGTCTATTTCTGCTCGAGAAGCTGCAGGCTCTGCGAACCAATAGCAAAGGCATCTACTCGTCGTCGTGCTCCTTGTGCGTCTTGGTCGACGTTTTCGGGCGGCAGATAACGGCCGTGCCGTAGCAAACGCTGCTGCAGTGCAAGCCAAAGACGAACCGGTTCATGGCGAGGTTGGTCTCAAACTTGGTGCGCACGACAGCCGTGGCGCCTTGGGCCTACACCAGAGGGTTGAGGAGGATAGGTGGCAATACGGCGATGAGGGTTACGAGCGCAGCCGCCTTCATACGGTGCACGGCTTCGTTGTTGGTCTCGTTCATGAGCGACGAGTATGACCGCGTCTCGCCGCCGAGGACGCCGCCAAACGCAGCGAGAATGTCTTCGAGGATGTTCTTGGTGCGGACGACGTTGCCGCAGACCATGCCGAGCTCCTGGATGACCTCGCGGCCTTCGATGTGGTCGCGGGTTGAGAGAAGCAGCGGCGTCTCCTTGACGTAGTCGGGGCTCATGATCGTCACACGTGGCACCGCCGTCGTCGAGAACCGCGCCGCTCGCCGCATGAGCATCATCGTCGGTCGCGTGTCTGTGCGGGTTGAAATCTGACAACGCCGCCGACGTCAGCCGCTCCGGATTGGTCAAAAGCCCATGATACACCGGCAGGCCATTGGTCCAATTAATGCACGCTATTTCCGTGTGCGCGACGAAATGCAGACACTATTACTGTTACCTTTTACCCGACACGCAGCAAAGACCGCAGTACACGCGCTTGAATCCGCTGCGATCCAACGGCTTCGGTGCGCCAAGCATACAACGTTTTGTATGCCAGCTCTAATAGCTCTACTGCGGAGATCTGGCCTCGTGGATGCTTCATAATACACTATTTGCGAAGATATGCCAGGATTGGCTAAAAAAGAGCCAATCCTACGCAGCGCGACCGACCGCGATGGAGCCGTCCGCCAAGGTACACCGACCTGTCAGCACCGCCTAGCTCATACCTGCGTAGTACGCGCTGTACCACGCAACGGACCCGGCCTCGCTCAAGTGGGCGGCGAAGATCCGCCTGACGCCCGAGCTGCTGGCCAAGCTCCAGGACGGCTCCGTGGCTGATGACCTCTCGCTCACGTTCTCGGCCGACAAGACAGAGCCGAGCGTCCTGCGCGTTGGCGACGAGGCCTTTGAGCTGCTCACGTACCCCGAAGATGCGTCTGTGAACCACCTCTGCACGCTCAGCCCCGAGGACGACGGGCGCGGCTACTCGTTCTACGAAACCGGGCGCATTGCGAAGAAGCTCATCGTGCAGCGGCTCTTGGACAGCACCGAGAAAGACCGGCTCAAAGACCGCCACGCCAAGTCTGTGGAAGACTACAAGTCGCGCAGCTCCAAGCTCCTTGAGGACAAGCCGACGCGCGGTGAGCGCAAGCGGACACGCACTGTCATTTGGCAACCGGACACGCCAGCAGTGGCCATCCCTGAGTACGTCGCCCATTGACACCACAAGCTCATGCATCATATTTTGTATACAGTAGGAAGCCTTTGACAGCGTTCGCTTCGGCACTAACGTCCGACCAGCTCGAGGCGATCACGCATGAAATAGCCAAAAAGATCGAGGTCGAGCCCGTTCTGAAGGTCGAGCCGGCTCCAAAGATCGAGGCCAAGCCAGCCCCGAAGATTGTTGCTGAGCTTCCCAAGGTTGTCGAAGCAGCTTCAGTCGAGATGCCCAAGGCCAAGGCCAAGGCGACGCCCAAGCCCAAGGCTACTCTTGCCAAGATCTCATCCCCAGTCCAGCGAGTGCCTGCGACCGTCGGCGCAAATGAGCCACCAAGCAAGGCCGTAGTTAACGTCGCGTCGTCACTGGATCTCCCCGTGCCGGCCTTAGTGCCACGTGTTCCGGAAACCACCAAGCTCATCCGTGCCAAGCGTCGCGTTCTCTCCCCCGCCGTGCACGCGCTCTCGACCTTTACGCCGGACATGGAAACCATCTTCAAAAAATACAGCGCCACACGTAGGAAGAATTTCTGCTGCATGGTGCTATCAGTGATGATTATAGGTCCGTTGGTGGCCGCGATTGCCAATGAGAGCGAGCGGGTTGCGTGCGAGGCCACGCTCGCCGAGCACGTGGCTGCGTGGACCCTTCTCGAAAAGGTGCTGTACCGCGAACGCTGGCACTCACTCAGCTCTCATCTCTAGTCGTATTCGATCGAGGTTGTTCTTACCAACACAAAGGCCATCACAGGCGCGCCCCCCAATGCCAAGTACGCTCAGAAGCACGAGCTCCGCGAAGAGGTCGGGGAATGCGCCACCACAGTGTGCTCATGCGAGCGTAGGGCATTGCGACCGTGAAAGCCCTCATGGACCATCTGTTGTCGCTGATTTCAACCGCCGAACTCGCCATCGCGAGCTTCAAAACGCCGGCAATGATGGCCGAGAACGACGACGGGACGTTGTAAGCAAACATTGGTTTATATGAAATTTCACCTTGCTGGATGTACTTGGGCTACTACACGAGCATGCTCCCAACGATGCAGAGCACCGCGAGCAGACCTGCGCAGTGCTGGACAGTGCCTGTGGCGCTGGACGGCCGCTGGATCGTGCTCTCGTCGCTGACGTTGCTCCCCGTGCGGTTGGTGCGCGTTGCATTGTGCGTCGAGTTGTTGGTGGTCGAGTTGGAGTGCGTCAAGGCCGCGCCGGGCACGTGCGTCTGCTTCTCGTGTTCGACGGATGTGTTGAGCAATTGAGGTTCATCGCGCGTGGAGTGGTTGCCGATGCTGTGGGCTGTGGGCTCGGGCGTCGAGTGGTTGCCACTGATATGGGCTGTGGGCTCGGGCGTCGAGTGGTTACCACTGCTGTGGGCTGTGGGCTCGGGCGTGGAGTGGTTACCAGTGCTGTGGGTTGTGGGCTCGGGCGAGCGCGGAGCGTCCGTTGCCACACGGCTGTTGTCAGTGTCAGCATCGATGTCAGAGTCTTCGCCATCAGCAGCGTCCGCGTCGGCACCGACATCTTCGGTATCGGCGTCTTCGGTAGCGTCGATGTCAGAATCAACGTCGTCTTCGCCGTCACCGACCTCCGCGTCGTCGTGACCGTTGTCGTGGGAGCTGGAGGAGCTGTTGGACGTCGTGGGCAGCGGCGTTGAGTGGGTATGCGTTCCTGGGTGCATCGTTGGCGTCGTCGACGAGCTGTTGTGGGCGGTCGTGGAATTGCTGCCATGTGTTGCATCGTCGTCGTTGTGGGCATTGACCCCCGCGATGATGGGCTCATCCTCGTCTTCACCGTCGTCGCCAACGTCGCTGTCCCACGAGCCGAGCTCGTCGTCGAAATCGCTGCCCGACGCGCTGTTGTACGAGTCATCCACGACGGGAAGCGTCGTCGGAGCCACAATCGTCTCTTCGCGCGTCGCGTTGGCCACCGTGCGATTGCCCGAGGCCGTGCCATTGCATGAAAACGCCACGTACGAAGCGTTGTGCCGGTTCGTACAGCACTGCTGCTCGCCGGTCGCGTTCGTCGCCGGGTTCCACTGGTAGTAGAGGTACACTTGGGAGCCGCAGCACGCCGCGCGCGCCGGGTTGTAGCACGACGCGCCGCACTTGGGCAAGTCGGGGCGTTCCAAGCAAAGGTCGCTGGCCGAATCGGCGGCAACGATGGCAGCAGCCACCGACGCAGGCACAAAGAGTCGCATGTTGATTGGGGCGAGAGATGGAAAATGCGATCCGACTCGGCCCGCGATTTCCCTTCATCGATGATAGAGCGATAGAACGATAGCGGCTCACGACGAGGCTCCTAAGTGTGAAGTCCCATCCTCGGTATCCTTCGAACATTGATGTCGTCCCGCGTCGCGACGTGGTGCCGTGATGCCAGCTCGGTGGCAAGATCGTTCAATTCTTCCATTTACCGTCTCATGTTCCATGCGTGTCAACCTTCCTGGAGCGGCGATGTGGATGAAATGAGTTTGCGATGCCATGTAGTAATACATCTACGAGAGAGGCCTCCGTAATGCACGCTCGTGAGGCAAAGCAGTGGCGTCTTCGAGGTGCGCTATTCGTTGCGGCATCCTGAGAGGCTCTCGGTAGCTTGCCCACCTTGGACCCGGGGCGTTGAGCATTGCCGCAAGCGATGGCCAAGTGTCGGAGGTGCAGGCGATTGTCATGCAAGCCTAGCGGTCTTGACCGCAAGCCATGTGGCTGAGAGCCTTGAGCGGGTTGCTGCGTTCGAGCCTGGGAGGGTGCCAGAGGCAGGAGTGCAAGACCGGTCAGAGGGCCACGATGGACGACGAGTGAGCCGAGAGCACCACCATGTAGCGTCTACCTGGTCAGTGCTGCTTGTGGGACCATGACCATACACCCATCTGCAGAGGCGACGCCATGGCCTCGGCCAAGATCTTGCTTTTCCAGGCGGTTCGTGGCACGCCCATCTGCATGCCAGTAATTTTGGCCAATCCCCATGGAGGAGGAGCTCTTACCTTGTTAAAGCAACATCCATCCTCGACCCTGTCGCAGATGCATACGGAAATTAGGATATAGAAGTAAAGCACCTCGTGATACGAACCTTCCGCCAAAGGCCGCCCACCACTCCTATTGGGTGAAGCCAGTTAGTTTTGTATTTCTCGGTCGGAAAAGAGGCGTCCCCCGCCCAAGGTTCCCCGCTACCCCGTCCCGGAATCGTATCTCGGAACATCATGCTTGCCTCCTCGATGATTAGCTCCCAACCCCCTTGCTCCACGGGCGAGGGCCCCCGCGCCAAGCGGAAGCGCTCCGTGGATGCCCCCTCTTCTCTCGATGGCGGAATGTCGCCGTCGTCCATGGACGAGTTGCCCTGCAAGAAGAGCAAGGTACGCGCTCCCGATCGATAGGCAGCAAGCCAACGTGCCATGTGTAGGCGACGGATGAGACCCACTTCAAACCCTCGGAAGACCACGACCCACGTGAGTGCTCTGACGCCCCCCTGCACGAAGACACCATTAGGGATCCCACCACCGCCCAACTCTCCACGCCTCCGGAAGACGGTGAATGCACGGATCTCGACAACTCGGACAGTCCTCTTCACGCACCGGAAAGCAACCGTCCCGTCGACAGCCCGCGCTCGGACGTCGGGTCGCCCCCTCGTGCTACTCAAGGCGACTGCTACGACGCCTACTACGACGGGCCGGGGTACGACGATTTTGCCGATGATGCCGATAGGCGCCGTCGCACCCTGAAGCTCCAGTACTGGACCCGCTCGGACGAGTGCAAGGAACGCAAGTGGGACCATCTGGACCTCCTCGACTCGGAAGAGCACGGCATGACGCGCGAAGAACACATCTACGCCACGACTCTGGCAGGTAGAACGTCGTTCATGGAGCCCAATATGTTTCCGTACTCGACGCCGGAAGGCATCGAGCACTGGACTCTCTGGAGCCGCCTCGAGATGCGCCATGCCGACGTCCAGGACTACGTCGAGCAGTGGATCACAACTAACGCGCCGCATGTCACGGCGTGGAACTACGACGACAACCCGGAGCGCTCAATCAACATCTTCCACGTCCACGTGTACCTGCAAGTGGGCGCCGAAGGCGACGTCTTGCAAGGTCGCAGCGTCCACGATCTCGTCCACTAGGCGCACATCCTACTAATACATTGTCATATTTAACTTAACTCGGCGTCCTGTGACAACGAGACGCCATGGCGCTCAAGGCACTGCATGATGGCCAGGTTGACTTTGGACTTGGCCTTGGCGAGGGTCTTGATGTCGTTACCCTCAATGAGCGCTGTCACGAGCACGCAGTACATGCCAGCGAGCGTCACTTGCAAGCAGCGTAGATCGTGGACGCGGAAGCTGTTGCATTTCGAGCCAAGCTCGGCGATGCCCGCCATCGAGTCGAGCGCCGCAGTTGTGCCGCTGCCGTGGGAGAGCTCGCTCACATTCCCGAGCGTGCGCGTACCCATCGAGTCGGAGCGGCGAACCTCATGCGACTCTTTTTGGTGAAAGAGCTCGGGCGAGACGATGCAGTGGGGCAGCTGCTCGCGGAGGTCGTCGATGAGCTGGTTGAGGAGGGCGACAGGCGTGGTTGGCGCCACGTGGATTTCGACATGGACCTTCCGGAACGTGCACTCGGAGTAGTTGCGCTGGTAGTCGGTCGCGAGGACACTGTTGGGGATGTGGATGAGCGCGCCGTTCATGGCGCGGAGCACGGTCGTGTTGAGCGCCATTTGCTCGACGACGCCGGTCGCCGACCCAATGGAGCAGAGACTGCCGGTCGAGAAGGGCTCGGCAAAGATGAGGAAGAAGCCCATGATCGAGTTGCGGACGGTGGTGTAGAAGGCGAGAATGCCCACGAGCTCGAGGAGCGTAAAGAAGACGAGGACGAGCTCCTGCATCATGGCCGAGTTGGGCACGTAGACGTAGCACTCGATGAGGATCAGCACCATCGTGACAAACTATGCAAGCGTGAACGAGGATTTAGCAGCCGTCGCCTCGTACCCCAATGCTTTCCGTGACCATGAGCACGCGCGAGTAGTCTTCGCGCGAGGTTTCGTCCCAGCCAAAGTACCGGATCGACGCCTACGCCAAGGCTAATACCTAAGACGATGCAGCATGGAGTACCTTGGTGACGACGCGCCGCAAGGCGATCGTGGCCACAATGAGCGGAATACCAAAGGCGTACTGGAAGACAGTTGGGACCTCATCCGCGGCGTCGTCAATCTCGAGGATGACCATGGCGACGTAGAGCGCGAGGAGCACGATGGCCCACGAGATGGGCGGAAGGAAGTGGCGCTCAAGGTCCTTGAGGAACTGCTTCGGGCCAAAGCGTGCTCGGAGGAGGCGGAAGACCTGCGCGACGACGCGCTCGCGGAAGAAGACCGAGTTGGAGACAAGCACGAACGAGACGCCGCCCCGCCAGATCGTGCCCGAGGTCACCTGGAAGCCCATTTTCCGATATCTACACTATTCCATGTGCTCTGTCTTTACCACAGTATTTCTGTCTAGGAACGTAATATAGTGTAGTAGTGCGCTCTCAGACTGCCAGCACAGCAGGCAACTAAGCTTGCAGGCTATGCCTTTGGCACGACCTTGGCACACATGAATACGCAGCGGTTGCTATCGCACGTCGTGTCTACGCTTAGCGTCTTGACGTTCTAGTTTCTAGTCGGCCCACTCGAAGAAGGTGCATTGCGCGTTCTTGTCGGGCTTGGCACACTTGTAAAACTTGCGGCCAGCGTTGGCCGCCGACTTGGCCGTGAGCTCGATTGCGGGCTCGCCGCAGAGACACACATGACCCGAGGCATTGCTGGCTCCAGACGGGCGCGATGTCGCCGCGCGGTTGTAGCTTGCACCACCCCCACCATTACTGGACGCGCCGCTTTCGCCGTCCTTCCATTCAAAGAACCCACAACTGTCGGCTTGGGGAAAGCTGCACGTGTAAAACTCGCGGCCTTGGTTTGGCCCGGCCTTGGCAACGACGCGCTTCACGCTTGGCTGCTGATGGTTGCACAGCGGCGTGTCGCCCGACGGACCACCATTGTAAATGGCTGGCGGTACAGCTGCGCCTTCGGTCCACTCGAAAAAGTCGCACTGCTCGCCTTGCGGAAAGCTGCACGTGAAGAAGTACCGGCCCTTGTTGGGCCCTTCGCGTTTGGTTTGGCGAAGCGCACACTCGACGCTGTGTCCGGGGCAGAGAGGCGATGCCCCTCGAGGCGGTGCACTCACGGTTGTCATCGCCCGCGAGGATGCCGTTGATGCACTTGTCTTGGCTTTTTTCGCGCGGTTGTTGCCTGTGAGCGAGTCGGTATAGTCGTTGGACGGGGCTGTGGCGCGAGCGACGCGCTGGTACGAGCTCTGCAGTTCGGGTGCCGGCATGGCACGCGCCGCCGGGGCAGCCATGGACTTGAGCCGCAGCTGGCCTTGCGCAAGATCTTGGACGACGTCGTCGCAAAAGAGACACGTCTCGCGCTCATTGCCCATGTCCAGAATGCGTACTTGAAGGTCGGGCGGCAAGGCATTGGTGAGGAAGCGCAAAGTCACGCGGTGGATCGTTTGCTGCGGCCGAGAGCAGTTCGTGCACGGGTGCGACGTCACGGACGCATACGCGATGCTCGAAGGTAGCCACACCGACTCTTTGCAGCTTTGGTAGTCGGTGCAACTGACGACGTACTTGCCGGTTCTCGTCTTTTTTAGCTTCATGGGGTGACCGCCGCATTGAAAGCAGCACTGCACCACCGGCGAGTCGTGGGTCCCGGTGGCGAGCGCGCAGTCGGCCGTGCAGCTGTAGCACGGCATCTCGTTTAGTCGTGCGTTGGGCGGATGGTTGAAGCAGTGCGGGCACACACTGTAAACGTTGGTGCCTGCGCTCCGTTGGATGTCGACCACTTGAAACTGGCAGAGCGGGCAGCGCGTCGTAGACTTTTGTATGTTGGCAAGCATCGGGAGCGCATACTGGTCGTCGCAGCGCCGACAGACGAGGAGGCTACCGTCATCGGGCTTCTTCCTACAAAAGGCGCAAACACGGTTGAACACAGGTCAGAAAAGCGTCGTGTACCGGAGCTCCATGGGCTGGTGGCACTTGCCGCACGCGCTAAACGCGCCGTCAACCACGCGGCTGTTGCCCGCACCGGCGTCCTGGTTGGCCACACCAAAGTACCCTTGGAACGTCTCGTCGAGGACACCGGAGCGCGCAACGACGTTTTGGTAGATCGTGCGCATCTAGGCGCACATGGTCGGTGCGGGACGGAGCAAAGCAAGAACGTACTTGGTCCATGCACGAGCGGACGACTTGGTCGCAGGACTTTTGACCCTGCGCAATCGCATTGCAATCGCGCTCGACCTAGAGGACGCCATGTGGTCATGCTGGAAGGCGTGCGTATTGACGTACTGCCGCGCGGAGATCTGGCTTTGCGAGCTGATACCCCATGCGGTCGTAGGTCTGCACGAGCGCGAGGCCGAGCTCTGCGCAATATATGTCCTTAGATAAGGACCCACGAAGAAGTAGAGAAGACGGAAGCGATTTGTACCTGTGGGCTTGAACTGCGTGTTGTTGTTGACCTTGATCGCATACTGACGCTTGAGGATCGTGTTGATGTGCTCGGCGATCGTTGCATCCGTCCCAATGCCATGCGTGTCCATCTTGGCGATGAGGTCCGACTCGGTGAGGAGCGGTGGCGGTGCTGTCTCGCCTCTCTTGAGCAATAGCGTTGTGGGCACAAATCGGTCGCCGCGCTCGTAGACTGGAATCACGGTCGCGGCCCACTTTTCGTACACGTAAATGTCGAGGTAGTTGCGCGCGAGGATCATGAGTCCGCTCGCAGTGAACGTCTCGCTTGCTAGCGTCATGGTGACGTTGGTTTGACTGCCGCGCGCGTCCATGGAGCAGCACGCGAGAAAGTGCCGGACGACGAGCTCATACACGCGGCGCTCGACGTCATTGTTGAGCGACGAGAGCGGGACGCACTTGGTCGGGTGGATCGGCGGGTGCGCTTGGTCATCGTGCTTGCCGCTACGGGGTGCTTCGAACTTGCCGTTCTGGAGCGCGGCCACGTACCCGCCCCACGTCTCGTGGCCCGCATGCAAGTCCAAAAGGGCGCGAAGGTCGGTGCCTTCTTTGAAGCTGTCGGTCTCGGTGCGCGGGTAGCTCAGGAGACCGCGGTTGTACAAGGCCTCGGCCGCTGTCATGGCTTGCTCGGACGAGATGCGCAGCCAGCGCGACGCCCGCTTTTGGAACTCGACCGTCGTGAGCGGGAACGGCTTGCGCTTGGACGTATCCTTCTTGCTGATCGAATTGATGGTCGCGATCTGCGCCTCGACACAGCTCTCGTAGAGTGCGAGTGCTGCTATGTGGTCGTACACGCGGCCGCGGCCCCACGTAAAGACGATCGAGCCGACGTCAGGAATCGCATGCGTCACGTGGATGTGGTAGAAGAGCTCGCGGACGAACGCCTCGATCGCCAAGTGCCGGTCGACGACGAAGCCGAGCGTCGGGAACTGGCACGAGCCGAAGCTCACGACCTTGCTCTCCGAGTTGGCTTGGACGTTGGGAAATTTCTTTTGGATGCGCATCGTCTGGAAGCGCGTGAAGGCCGCGCCGAGCCGCAAATCAATCTCGGACCGCGCGTCGCACGCAAGCGACAAGTTCTCGTTCGGTTGCACGAGGTTCTGCACGGCGGCGTGGATGTCGCGCGGGATGAGCGCCGAGAAGCGCGCGCGCTTGACGCGCAGCCGCCGATTCGCCTTCTCGCACACGGCCTTGACCTCGAACGCAATGTTTTCGCCCTCGCGATCGCAATCCAGCCAGAGCACGAGCATCTACATACATGGCATCGATGAGGCTCATGGCGGCGCGGTGTACCTGAGCGCGTGCGGCCTCGGCCTTCAACGTCTGCTCGATCTTCTTTTGCGTCGAGTCCTCGCGCACGGTCTTCTCGACGGCCGCGCTAAATAGGTCAACGGGGTCGCATGTCTTCCAGCCGCTACGAGCGCATGCATCCATGGGCCATGTAGTACATGATCGTCTACCGGTGGCTCAGCGCGAAGTCGAGCTGCATGAGGTGGCCGGTCACGGACGTGAAGACCATCTCGACGCGCTGCTGGTTGAGCTCAAACGGAAACTCAAAGATGCCATTGTACTGGGAAAAGCCGGGACGCTACGCAGGATGAAGAGACGTCGTCGCCGAGTCGAGGGAGTTACCCGCGTGCTCCGGCCCGACGACAAGATGTGCGCGATCTCCTTGGCGACGGACGGCTTCTCGGCCACGTTCAGGACGCGCATGCCGGCAATTCGCGCACTGATTGGCTATAATTCGAGCCAATCCCACGCCGCGGCGTTCGCGCCCAAAATGCAATCCTCGGATCGAGCCACAGCGCTGTTGACGCTCGTGGGACTTGGCAGCTGCCACCCAGGTTGCGCACCGACGTGGCGTCGTTGGCCTCATTACGGCTGCAGCAAAGCACGACTTGAGGTGTGTACAATTGTACTTGGAAGGTCGCGGTGGCCACTCTGCACAAGGGACCTCTGCCACCTCTTCCACTTGTTCTCTTGGCTTGGGGTGCGTCGGGGTGGCGAGGCTCAGTGCAACCGTCTTTGCCAATCGTGTAAAGAAAGACGAGACAGTTGAGCTCTAATCCACAATACGGCATTCGTCGTACGACTGGAGGAGTCGATCGGTTATCGATAGGTACGAGATGGCTACCCCACGTTGGTGGTGCCCCTCACGAAGGAGACGGTGTTGCTGCAGCAGCTTGTGCCAGCTCATTTGATTCCCACGCGCTCAATATTAGCACGACCACCGTAAATCGAATGCTGCGAGAGCAAGCACGTGTTTTGGCTGTAGTAGGGTTCGCTGTAGCCTCCCAGGCGACGACACTGCTACTTGCGCTTTGTCCAGACCATCGTGCCGTCGCCCGCGCGCGTCGTGACGGTGAGCTTGAGGTCGAACAGCAGCGGGGGGCTACTGGCCAGCCGCGACACGTGCAACTTGGCAATCACGTGAGCGCACACGGCGCGATATTGCGCCCGGGGCATAGAGGCTTTCCTGCGCCAAACGACAGCAGCACCGACTTGTCGAGTGCGGCACGTGTGTCGCCAAAGCGCGATGGACGAAACTCGTCCAAGTCGAAATGACCAGGACCGCAGTCATCGTCCCGGCAGGCACTGCCACCGTCGATGAGCACGTCGTCGCCGGCGCGGACCTCGACGCCGTTTATGACGCACGGCGACACACATTGGCGGCTGATGACGGGCACGGCGGCCTTCAAGCGCAGCACTTCGTCAACTGTCCAGCACAAGTACGGCACGGCGCCTAGCGGGCTCGACGCTGCATTTGCAATCTCACTGGCGCCGTTGGGGAACGCGTCGAGCAGCTCTGCGTAGAGCTCGTCTTGCACCGCCGGGTACATCGCAAGGAGGTCGAAGAGGATCGAAAGCGCATGCGCCGTCTTATCAAAGAGGAGAGCGAGGAGGTTGTCACGCAGTTCTTTTGTCGAGAGTTTGCCATCGGGCGTTGCGGCCACCATCGCGTCCAGAAGCGACGATGGTGGGCCAAGAACGCCTCGCGCGGCTACGAGCGACGGAACGTGCGCTCGGGGGACGTCGCGGTTGCGAGTCCACGGCAAGCGCCACGCCCACGGCAGCGGCAGCACAGTGCGCTCGCCAATCACGTATGACACCCGGCTGGCTCACCATGTCGAAGGCGAGCTTGGGCATCACGACCTCGGGCACGACGCCGATGCTAGTACCGGACGACGGCAACGCATCGAGCGCGTTGACCTTCGAACTCGCCATGGATGGGATGCGCTCGAGGTCTTGCTGCGCCAACGCGTGCGAAAGCACCTTGCGCACCCGCGCCCAGTCATCGGCGGATCCTTGCACAAAGACGTGGAATGGCATCAAGCTACCGACTGCCGCGCGCGCCTTGCCCGATGACTCAAAATGCGCGATGAACTGTCCAAGCACGGGCTTGAACACACGCAGGTCCTTGGTCATGTCAACGTCTTGGCCGCCGAACCGGACACGAAACGTCTTGGCATGCACCGCCGCGTACCAATCGGCGAGTCGCTCGAGGAAAAGATGCCTGATCCGCCCGCCATGCGACGAGCTGAAGAGTTCCAAGTCACCGAGGTGCCCCAAGAGGCGTGCAGGACGAAAAGCGTTGGTCGTTGGAGGCATGCGTGGCCGGCTGCGTCCTCGGTACATGCGGATGCGCGACTGCAAATGCAAAAGTGAGTCGAAGGTCGGCCGCTGTGGCCGTTGAAGCAAATGGTCCCCACTGGGGTGTGCTCTGACGGTGACGCGTCGAGGAGGTTGCGGCAGCCGATGGAGTAGGATCTACACCGACTTTTACGCCACTCAGAGGCGGCGGATGATAAAAGGCGATAGCAACGACACGCTCTTGCAGTATCCTCGACGAGGTCTCCTCCGGTACTATCACTCTGCAAGTAGCCCATCGAGGCCCGCCCTTGGCGCTGCTCCCGTCTGCGGTTGCTCGTAGGGATTGGTCGCAAGGGTGTCTACCCGTGTTTATCGCATGGACCGATCGAGAGGGCAGCTCGCTCGAATGTTGCAAATCGGGTCGGGTCGCCAGCCGTCTCTTCGCGAACAAGTATACTAATCCATTTCATCTTTTTGGTTCTTCTAGGCTATTCTTCGTCGGGTGCATGCACGCCCGTTTACTTCATCTGCTTGACGACCTCCAAGATGGACTTGAAGCTGAAGGGCTCCGTGGCTGCAATATCGGCGAGCACCTTGCGGTTCAGCTGGATCTCGGACGCGTTGAGGACGCCAAAGAACTTGGAGTACGACAGACCTTCCTGGCGCGTGCCAGCGTTGATCTTTTCGATCCAGAGCGAGCGGAAGTCCTAAACACAGCGCATGAGGCCATGGCGCCGATGGGCCATGATGGACGTACGCGCTTCTTCTGCTTGCGATCGCGGTACTGGTACTGCAGACCCTTCTCGACGCGGTTGATGGCCGTGCGGTAGCACGAGTTGGCGCGGCCGCGATAGCCCTTGGCCATCGCCAGGATCTTCTTGTGCTTGGACCACGACATGATGCTACTGCTGCGACTGACTTGCGCCGACCGATATCCCAACTGCGATGCCACCAACAACCAATAATTCTTATCCGGACGGGCCCTTCTATCCGGTTTCGGACCGGTTCAATCCGGTTATGCCCCGAACCGCAACCGCAGATCGGCGTTGTAGCAGAGCGGAACGCGGCAGTAGAGCCGCGGAATGATAGCACGAGCCCCAATTGCATCCTGTTAGCAGCAGTGGCTTGCTTCGATCGACGAGTTGATGCGTATACGTGCTAGGAAGGGCCATGTGATGAAGTGTCGGTTCGTCCAGACCAGAATGATGGTCTCGACTAGAAAGGGATTTTCGACTAACTAGTCCCTGCCCATCACACGCACTTCGCCATCGTACTGCAGGAAGCTACAAGTAGAGCCTCGTGATTGCAAAAAAGTGGTGCACGACGTGGGAGCGTCGTGGGTGTCTCGAACGCTTCTACCAGCACGGACGATGGCGCACCTCTAGCGCTTAGTCGAACTCGAACCATCTGTTTAGTCGATCAAACACACCTGGAGGCGTCGCAGTGGCAGATCCGACGAGCTGACGGTATGGAGGTCAACCGATGGGGCGTCGTGGCGATTGCGAGCGTCGTCTTCGACATTGACGTGGGTCAGACGCTCGAGGCCATGTACCCGCCGACCGCGTCCTTGACGGCGTCGGCGCAAAAGTCGATCGCGTATCTCGCGCTGCCGCACAGCAACCGCCACGACGAGGGCGACACGCAGTTCGCCTTCCGCTGCCGGTCCGAAGACGAATCGACGTCGAGCTTCCTCTATGGCTTTGTGCTCTTCCGCCAGCGCAAGGACGCGGCGAAAGCGCGTGGGTACTTCCAGAAGGCCATTGTGATTGTCACCCAGACGCCGTTCGTCGGGCTCTACGAGCGCGTGCTGCGGGTCGTCGGTCCGCTCTACTTTCAGGTCGGCAACCCGCTCCTCGAAGCCCTCTACGACAACGTGTTGCAATGGTATGCGCGACGACCCAGGATCGCATATGAGCATGGCGTAGGCCGGCGCCGATGGCCGACACGACCATGATCTTGCCCGTCGCAGGCACGTTTGTGAGCTTCGTCGTGCCCGGCATGGTCCCCAGCATCGAAGCGTCGGTACCAACGCGTCGCTGGAGCATCGAGCAAGAGTCGTTTGACGTCAACGCTGACGACATGGCCAGCCACGACGAAGACGACGACGAGCTGCAGCAGCAGCACGAGGCGCCCGACGAGGCGATCGTGCGCAACGGCAAGTTCACGGCGCCCGCCCCGCGCGTCGCGCCGGCGCCCCTCTTTTGCGACATTCTCAAGCCCAAGACGCTGGCATCTCGTTCGAGGTAGTACAGTGCGTTGTGCATGTTCCGACGTCAAGTGTAGAGCGTCGGTCTCTTCTCGAGCTTTGAGGGGCTCGAGGCGTGTCTCTGGGATCTCTGGCAGCTTGCCATCACGGGCGAGAGCGTGCTCATGGTGGCTCCGAGCGCGCGCGTCTGCAGCCAAGCCGTGCTTGCGTTCACAAGGTGCGGCGCTCTATCATCTTTGGTGACAAATGCGGACGACGTGTAGCTTGATTGCGCCCGTCGCGTACCATGGCGACTACCGTCCGTACTTTGCCTTGTACGAAGCCGATTTTACCGTACGAGCTCTGATGAGTTCCTTCTTGCATATCTTCCACTCATTCGTGCATGCGTAGAGTATTGCTGCCGTCCACGACGCGACCAAGTGCCTGAACTTCCCAACGACGGTGCTGGGCACGACCAACCCGTTCTTCCTCAAGGTAGAACTCCCATGTACAAGACGCATCGTCGACGAGTTGTCGAGACAGGCGCTGCGGTTTTGGCCCAACGCGGTCGTGTTTCCGTTTCTCGACGCAGCAAGTCGCCCGGCGACGCCGCCGACGGCCAAGCGCGCGTTTGGCTTTCTCGATGCAGCGGACGCTGCGGAAGTCGATGACACGAGCCGGCCTCGACGCTACATCAAGCGCGCCGCCGAGCTCGACTCGTTTCCAGAAAGCTACGCGCCAAGGGTACGACCACGTGGCTTCTTCACAGAGACTGACCGACGGACGCTAGCTCCTCGCGCGGTCGTCGCGGCTCGTGCAGCCCGACCCGATCGTGCTGCGGCAACTTGTCGAAGCGACGGCCGTCGAGTCGTCCGAGGGTCTCCAAAACGGCGACGAGCCGCCCAGCATCTCGATCAACAACGCAGTCTTGCGCAAGGTCCGCATCGTACTCGATCCGATTCTATAAGTTTCGATTGCGTAGCATTTCAAGCACCTCACCGAGCTCTTTCTCAAGCCGTTTGAGCCGTACTTTGGTATTTGGTCCAACCATTTGCACGTTGCGCCGACACCGTACATGGACGTCACTGTCTTTATGAAGCCGTTCGTGGCCACGGCATGTCCAAGTTCCTGCCAATTGCACATTTTACAATCGATGGGCGTAGGAGTTTCTCAAGTCGCTGACCACGATCCCGTCGACAAAGCTCCCGACGCCACTCCGGACATCGCGCAAGAAGCTGCGAGCGCTGTACGCGCGGTTTATTGCGTCGCCACACTTTCAGCCGTGGTTTGCTGCCCGACGGCACGACTGCATTGATGCCTTCGACACGGTGCTCAAGACGCTTCGGGAAACCATTGACGCCAAGGCGCTCATGATGGAGCCCAGCGGTGTGGCCATGGATCTGCACGGATGCCAGCAACTCAAGACACAGGTACGTCGAGTCGGGACACAGCTCTATAGTCAACATGGGGACTAGATTCAACGCACGATCGAGTTGGCCGCGTCGCAGGCGACGCCAGACGCGCGGCACATTGCACTTATGGAGACCCACTTGCACGACGTCTCGGCGGCGATTTTAACGCTCTCAGCCACCGCGAGTTGAGGCCAACGTGGAAGCTCATCGCCTCCACTAGAACTCTGCGTATTAGGCGATAAGAGTGCATCATCGTCATCCTCAAGCGTGTCTGCGTTGAAATGCAAATGAGCCAAAACAAACTCGAGAATTTCGCCTACTAGTACGCAACGCCTGAATGCGTGAGAGATGGCACCTGATCGTTGGGAAGGAGCTGCGCACAGAGAGAGAGATCTGTACGCGAACCACCCGACAGAGAGAGATCTGTACGCGAACCACCCGACAGAGAAGTGCAAGCCGTCGGGTGAGTTTAATAGAAAGGTGCATAGTGCACGATTATGTCTCGATGGTCTCCAGTCTGTCCCTCGCCGTTCACGGTATGAGCCTCGGCGAGTACATCCATGTACGAAGTCAAAGCACCCAAGATGGACGAGGGCAAAGAAGCGCTCGTGGAGGCAGCAGCTACTCTCACGAGTGTATCAGGAATATACTAGAATGATGGAGAGAAGCAGGCTGATGCTATGGCCAAGTTGGCTCTTGTCGACGACGCCTTGATGTCGGTCGCATGCGACTCATTTTTTTGCACGGTGAGCAGCTGCTCTCACAGTTGTCGGAAGAGACGACCTTTCGCGCTACTTCGGTTCATTGACAGACAACAAACGCGCAGCATGTTGCGAGGACACGAGGGAGGATACATGAATAGAGAATACTAGGAATACTATCTAGGTCGAGTTGGTCGCGGCCCGGAGCCGCGGGACGAGCACCGAGAGGAGCTTGCGCACGATCGCGAGCTGGTCGGCTTCGGGCAGCACCTCGAACGGCGGCACGTGCACAAAGAGCACGAATTGGTTGTGGCGGTGTGGCAGCGTATGATAGAGCGAGCTGTAGTACGCGTAGTTGCACACGTAATGGCCGGGGTCAGTCGACGTCAGGCAGCCGTGGCCGACCTCGGCCGCGAGTTTCGCGACGGGCAGAAGCGTGTGGATGACGGCGGGTGCGCCAGGGATGATGACCTCGTCCTGCGGCTCGTAGCCCTTCTCGTCCGGAATGCAAAAGTCGGCAATGTTGTACGCGCACTCTTCAAAATGGACCACTTCGGCGCTGTCGTCGACGCCGAGGTGAAAGAAGAGTGTTGGCTCGCCCAACTCCTAGAAAAAATCATCGTGCCAACCCTACGATAACTGCTTTGTACGTTGGCGCGGGCCCAGAGCGGCTCGAGGGCTTCCTTGAGCGCGTCGACCGAGGTTTCGATCGCGTGCGCTTCCGTGACGTGCGGGTCGTCGGCCAGCGTCCGCACGAGGTACGTCGTTGGGTTCTCGAGGATCGTGTAGAACTTGCCGAAGCCCGTCAAGATCACGCGCATCGCTTTGTCCTCTTCTATGGATGAAAATGCAATCTGGGGCGCGAACGTAAAAGCAACCTCATACATCCCACTCTATCTGGTCGCGATAGAGCACGACAGCGCCCATTCGTTGAAGCAGCGGTCGCCCAGATACTATGCACCAGCGCGCTAGTATTCCTTGGCCTCCGTCCACCGCGCCAGCATGGACCGTCGCCTTTTCGTATTGTGTTCAAGGCCCTGTTGTGTATGTAGTCGCTTACTGAAGCGGCTGCACGACGCGATGGTCAAGCGCGTCAACGACCATCGCACATCGCCGTGGGTACACGTGCTGAGCTCACGTGCTGCTGGAAGGTGACGTGTGAGTAGTGGGGTCCATCTTGAAGCCTTGGCGTCAACAAGGCGAGCGTAACGCAAAAGATTATGGCTGGCATGCACAGCTTTCTTCCGTACATTGGGATTTACGCCTCGTCCATCGCGCGCAGCAGCACGAGGAGGTGCTCGATCGTCGCCAACTGGTCGGCTTCGCTCACGACCGTAAACTCGGGTACGTGGACGAAAAGCGCATGCTAATACTATGGTTGTCATTCAGCGAGCAGAGTACTGAACGCACCTGGTGGGCCTTGGTGTGGGTCACTGCGAGCGACTTGAAATAGACGTAGTTGCAAATGTAGCGGCCCGGGTCCGTCGAGACGGTCGTGTGCGGGCCGAGCGCCGCGGCGAGCTTCTCGACCGGCAGGCTCGTCGAGTAGCTTTCGGGCCCGTTGGGCGCGATCGGCTCGGCGGCCGGCTCCCACCCGCGCATGTCCGGAATGCGAAAGTCGGCGACGTTGTACCCGACCTGCTCGAGGTTGATCGCCGTGCCCTTGTGACTCACGCCCATGTGCAGAAAGATAAATGGCTCGTCCGACGCCTACTCGCATGATTAGCAGCGTTGGCGGCGCAAGCAGTGCGACCTCGGCCTCGGCCCAGTACGGCGCGAGCGCTTCGTTGAGGCCGTCGGCCGACACCTCGAGGACAAAGACCGCGGTCGCATTCGCGTTGCCCTCGAGTTTCTGCGCGAGCGCCGTCGTCGGGTTCTCAACGATCTTGCCAAACTGGCCAAAGCCCGTGACGATGACCTTCATGTCGTCTTCTTGCACTGTGATGGCCGTGATGGCTACCACGTTCCGATGACGTCCGGAGCGGGGCAAACCAGCCGTAATCAGGTCCAATTGGGTGAAACACCCCGGCTCCGCTTGGGACAAACCGATTAACCCACCCAAGTTCAAGCCTCTCTGCCTCGTTGCCCAAGAGCGTCGCTCAAGCGCGTTGAATACTGCGGACCAGCTCTGTGGTGCTGTCGATCGTCAGAAGGTATTACGAGGGAATAAACAGTCGCCAGCCGTGCGATGATGACGCTTCTGCTGCGCAGCAATGTAATACGGTCGCCGCTCTTGTCCTGAGGCTGGGTCACAGCATGATACGCTGGTCTCTGCGCCATAGTGCGCTACCAGGTACTACAAGTACGCGGGAGCTGTGGTAGGAGTACGGTCACTGAGGAGCAATTGCCAAGCAAAAGTCTGGCCACCAGACATCGCCGTGGCACCAGACTATCCTGTGCATCGACGCTTGACGCTTGACAACCAACATCAATCAGTGAACCCACCTACACACCAGTTGATACGCATCTGGCGCCAAAAAGCGAAATCCCTCCCACACAAGAAAACAAGATGATGAGCCGCCCATCACCGTGCACTCGTGGCTTCCGAGTGCACACTCAGTTACTTCTATGAGCTTGATTGTACCTGCTTTGATTTACTCACTGGATCGTTCACGACGTCGGCGCCGATGGCCTTGGATCCGTGCAAGGGCTTTGACATCAAGACATCTCAATGCCGCATATGCCCACCTTGCTCAGGGAGGTCGCTTCTGGCGTGCGATCCAACTTTGCCGAGGCACAGTATTGATGGCACTCTGCACGCCACAACGGAAGGGATTGGCCACATCGCTTTCGTGTGTCCCTGGGCACACTCGCGTCGCGACCGAGGTCATCGCAAGATTGATCGAAAGGCGTCAAATGAAGACGTGTGTGTTGAAGCATGCAGTAGGAAGCGCTGGGATAAGTTGGTTTATCCAAAGAGGAACCCGAGGGTAAGGTTGTTGAGACCCGTGAGCGACGCCGGTAGCAGCTCTGCGCTCGTGGCCAAGCGCGCTGTCACCTAATCCATTTTAGTGAGTCTCTACCTCGTCCGATGCAGCTGCAAGCACCGTTTCGAGGAGGTCGGACGGAAATGCGAGCTCCTTTGTGGGCAAGCGGTCGTCGGCCGTCGGCGTCGTCGTGAAGAGCACCTTGACGACATTCTGGGCCGCGCTCGCACCCGACGTCTGGATCGTAGCGTCCCAGCTCAGCACCTGCAGCACGAGATGCTGGTTGGGCGAGTCCGCGTCGCTCGGCACAAGGTCAAAGCGGAAGAGGCCTTCCGACTCGATGACCTCGAGGAGCTTGGTCACAATGACGCTGTCGCTCGAGTACGCGTCCAAGACATCCTTGGCTTGCAAAAGGTACTTTTGCAAATTAATGCCAATCTCGTCTTGGGACCCAAGGATCGTGTGGCAGCGCAGGCAACGAACGCTCGCCATGTGCAACTCCATCTCTGCGTGAATGTTGTCGGGATGCACGAGAAGGTCTGACTGCCCGACGTACACGCGGTCCAGCGCAGCGTGGATCCCATCCTTGGGAATGTGTTCAAAAGCACCCTCGGCCGCGCCCCAAAAGTCGACCATTTCCATCCAGTTGGACGACGGAAGCGGCAGCACCTTGTTGAAGGGCCGGTTGACGTTCGAGATGACTTGGCCACAGCACCGGCACTGGAGCTCGGTATAATTGCGCACCTATATCAGATCAGCGTCGATCCTAACAAGAGAGCAGATGGTGCGTACATCGAGTTCAGCGCGGGACAGTGTCCGGGCCGCCATGCCCGCTGTCATGGCCGTTTTCCGGTCTTCTTTGGCGGCGCTCGTGAGCGGCAGACGTAGGTGGACGTGATCCTTCTGCACGCGCACCGAGCTGTACTTGGGGTCGACTGCGTACGCTAGCGTGGCCTTGAAAATCGTCGTGTCCTGGACGCGGAGCTGAATTTCTCGCTTCGTCGCGTTGGTCACGAGCGTCGGCGTCGCATCTTCGAGCGCAATGTGCACGTAGCACTGGTAGCAGCCGATATTGGCCTGGAACTCGATGACAAATTCGGGTGCATGCAGCACCTTGGCCAGCGTCGCGTCGAGTTGGCTCGAGAGCGCGTCCACATCGTGGCCGCAGGCCTGCCGCGCCTCGTTAGCCTGGGCGTAGTCAGCCCGCGCCTCTTCCACGACGCTCCGCGCAAGCTCGCACTGCTCACGAGCAGCTGTCACGGCGCGCTTGGCGTCCTCCATCTCCTGGAGGAGCTCCGACGCGCTGAGCTTGGTTGCCATCGAGCGAATACGACAATGCCGCTTTCTGATTCGACAAAATGCAGCCAATCGACGAGAACCTTCGATCGTTTTGACCAATCATGTGGCAGACGATGCAAGATCGCGAATCTTGCTCGTTGAGGAGCCGTGGACGCAAGCTGGCAACGCTACTAGCCTGGTCGCCAAGTGGTCCACGCACATGGCCTACGTTGCGGAGACCAAAGGGTCTCGTCATCTGGCCGTGCTGCTACGCTGGCTGCAATAACCACATCCTTTCGTTGGCAGCCGAACCAAGACCGACGCCAAATACACTTCCAACTCGGAACGGCTTTGAATTTAAGACGCATGAAGCTCTTTTGGGAGGCTGGCGAGTGTGTCGAGACGAGCGACGATGAGCGCGCACATGCTGGACCATGCTTGGCGCTCGTAGAGCACCGCCACGTCCCTTCCAAAGATGTCGCTGAGCTCCAACGGCGTGAGCTCGACGCGCAGCCGATTGTCTTCGGGCACTTGCGCCGCAATGTCCACAATGACGCCGCCCGAGGTCTTGCCAGACAGCGAGAGCGTCACGGCGTACTCGAGGTCGTGGCAGACCCACGTACCGTGGTGTACATCCACATCGACCTCGTCGAGCTGGTCCAGGAGCTCGCGCGAGTCGTCGTCCTTTCCGTCCATGATGCGCTGCATCCAGGCGCATAGCAAGTCGGCGCCCCGTCCGAGCGACTCGGGTCGGAAGAGCGGGTCCGATGCCATTGGCTGTTGCAATAGGAACGGTGCGAGCGTCGCGCATTTGAGTTCAAAGTCCGGCGACGACGAAGTCTCGTCCACCTTGCGGAGTGTGCGGAGCACACGGTTGCCGTGGCGGTAAAACTGCTGGAGGATCGACCAAGAAACGTCTTTCGGCGTCAACGCACCCGGCGTCACGAGCAAGTAGACCATGGTGAGCACGAAGAGCATGGATTGCGTTGGCGGTTTGATGTCCGAGAGCTGCGAGATATCGTCGCTCGTCGCCGTGACCGTATCGACGGTCATCGACACGAGCGCACGCGTCGACGTGTGCGCCGAAAGCACTGGCTTCAAGAGTCCCGGGCGCTCGGTTGTCAAGTCCACGGGCCGAAATCGCTCAAACGGCATCATCACCGTCGCCAGCGGGTGGTGTCGAGGCGACGTCGGCTTGTGCGGCGTGACCGGTCGCTGCGGCGAGATGAGCGCGCGGGACGAGTTTTGTTTGGTGCGCGGCCGCTGCGCATCACTATCGAGAAAGGTCCAGCACCACGACAAAAAGTGGTCTGCCCAGAGAGCACACGCATTGGGCACATCGATGCTCTCGCTTGGGTTGAAGGGCGGTGGTGGCGTGGCGGTCATGGGAACAACCCGCTTACGAGCAGCGGCGGCGAGCATCAGCGGGTTCTGCCCCATTGCCTGTGGCGCGATGCCCAATGCCTGCACGAGCGACTTGGCACAATGGAGAAAGTCCATGTCTGTCTTCATGCGCAGTGTGTAGCTCTCGCCCTTGTACAGGTACGGGTGCGGCGAACCCTACCGAGTTGTTCAGTTGTCTTGGTGACCACGTGTGCACGGCGTACCGCGTGCCACGCGTGAAGTTGCAGAAGCAGCTGCGTCGAGGCATCGCGAACGTGGACGAGCTGCTTGAGCATCGCAAAGTGCTGACCATCCTCAACGCTGCCGGAGTCGAGGAGGAAGCGGACTTGAGCGAGCAGCTCCTCTCGCTTCGTAATCCACTTGGCCACAGCTGCATCGTCGTCTGCGTGCGCTACGGCGCGGTGGGTTCGCGGCGACGCTTGCCGGGCCCGAATGTCCATGGCGATCTTCCAGCACCCAAAACGGTTAACGTCTGCACGACACTGGAATAGAAAATCACGTCAGCAAGAATCTAGATTTTAAAGATCTGGAGACGCAACTAGGCCAGCGACGGGTACGAGGCGTCGGAGGCGAGGCCGCATGTGCCGTTGAGCATGGCCGCGCGCTGCAGCTGCATGAAGCCGCGGTCGCCCCAGCCAACGCCCCATGAGTTCTGGATGCGCCAGTACGAGCCATTCGCCGAGTCGCCCCAGCCAACAACAACAACTGCGTGGTCCAAGTCGGTCGTCGAGCACGAGGCGAGGATCCCGCTCTTGTACTGTTTCCACTCTTCGTTGCCAGCGGCGATGCCCACAATGACGGGTTGGCGCGCCACAGCGGCTTGCAACCCGGCTTCGCCCGGCACCACGTTCACCGACTTTAGCGAAGTGGGACGCATTGGCACACAGCTCGTCGCGCGGCACGTCTCATCGTTGCCAGAAGTCCCCGAGACATACGGGTAGTCCTTGCCGAGACACAAGCCGTTGTTGGTGACGTACTCGATGGCTTTCGAGGGATACCCACCTTGGCAGCCCAAATTTCCTGTCATCATCGGGTGAGTACAACAACAAGCAGAAAACGACGACGCAGCGTACCAGACGCCTTGTCGCAGCTTGTGAGGTGCTGCTCCGAGAGCTTGACGAGTGTTGGCGTCGGCGAAGCGAGACACATGGCGCTCTCAAGAGCGAGCGCAGTCGCGAATGCCCAGCAACTCCCGCAGTTCCCCTGCTGCTGCACCGAGCCAATACACGAGGACGTTGTCCAATCGACACTTGCCGGCAGCACCGTCGTGCTATTCGCGTCCGAGGGGCGCGCATCAGAACGCTGCGCCAGTGTCGACGACCGGACGTAGGCCGCAAACTCGGGCACCGTGAGGAGAGTAAACGGTGAGTCGAGCGAAAAATGTGCGTTCGGGTGCACGACGTTGAGGCGCGCAATGTCCAACTTGGTGGCATAGAAGCGACGGAGCTCGTCGTCGGCGTCACTCTTCAGAAAGCCGTGGGCACGCGCGATGCTACCAGCGCGGCTTGCCTTCCAATCTGCGAGCTCCGCCTCGAGCGCGATCGGGTCGTAGCTACCGAGCACAGACGGTGCGAGAAGCACACACGTGAGCAAAGAGAGCATGATCGAGAGCACGGGCAATTGCAAAATGGAGACTCGTGACGAGGCGAAGGAAGGCGAGAGCCGGGCGACACCGATGGACGATTCGTGTGGCGCAAGGTAAGGTGTGCATCTGAGAACGCATGCTAGTGCCACATCGCGTTGCCGCGAGCCAAGTCACTGCGAGTCGACGTCGCTGCTGGTATCGTCCAACGGGAGCGGTTGGCTTTCCATGCTGGTCAACCGACCAGATTGCACTTCCAACAACTTCTGGTTCGGACCGCTAAGGAGTCGCTGAAGGATGCGGCGCTTCATATCCAAGGTAGGTTTTTGCTTTCGACTTTAAGCAATGCAGCGGTGCTGAACCCCAATATTTGACATGTCAATAATCCAACAGTATCAACTTGATACACAGCACAGTCATTGAAGAAGCTTAGACAATCTCGCCGCGGTTGTCCGACTCGTTGAACTGGACCCAGTCGAGCGCAATGGGCGCCGCCATCACGTACTCGGGAATGTTGAACGCGTGGACGAGGTTGAGGGCGTCTTCGCCGAGGCCTTCCTCGCCGCAGAGCTTCTTGATGGCGCCGTCGACGCTGTTGCCCAGGTCCTTGGTCACCACGTCGTTGCAGACGTACCACGCGAGGTCGCGCTGGACGCAGCTCGCGGCGTAGAGCTTGGCGATCTTGGCGACGACAGGGCGCACGGCCGCGTGCTTGGGGTCGTCGAGCGACTCGAGCACCTTCTCAAAGGCCATGCGCTCGACGTACGAGAGCGCGACTTCCTGCACGAGGAACGACTCCTCCATCATCCACACGTCAAAGAGCGCCTTGCCGCCGGCCATCTCCGTCTTGAGCGTCTTGCCGAGCTTCGTCATGAGCGCGGCTTCGCGCACGCCGAGGAGGTAGCGGTAGTACTCGAGGTCGTCCAAGCTGGGCGTGCCCGCGAACGGCTTGCCCGCAGCTATGAAAATATCAGTCTATCAAGCACGACAAGGAATACGTACTCGGCGAGAGCTTGTAGCGGCCGGCCTTGATGAGCTCGCCGAGCTCCTTTGTGACCTTTTGCATGAGCACCTTGTTGTCGCCCTAGAAAGAGGGGATGACCACACGTTGGCAAGCATGCGATCAGACGTACCTCAGCCGTCACGGCCGCGTGCGAGAAACCGAGGATTTCGCCAAACCGGTTGGCCGAGAGGTAACCTTGGCCACCGCAGCGCTCACGGCAGACGCTCACCACGTTCTCCGAGTTCCACGAGACGACGGGCTTGATCGCCGAGCAGAGCGTCACGAGCTCGAGGCGCGCGAGCGGATCCTCCGACTTGTTCCACGCGGCATACGCGTCCTTGACGTAGTTGAGGCCACACGCCAAGGCGTACGTGCGCGCCAAGAGCGGGATGAGCTCGCGCTTCTGGAGCTGGTACTTCATGATGGCCATGTCCGACTTGCCCTTGGGGCCGACGGTCGCGCGCGACGCAGCGTAGCGCATCGCGATCGTGAGCGCGAGCTTCGTGCCACCCATGAGCATGGCAGCAATGCACACGCGGCCACTGAGAAGCTGATCTAGAATCGAGACAGTGGTGAGATCTCTATGGTCGAATACCAACTGCGGTACCCGCAACAGCGAGGAAGCGACCACGCTTGCTCGGAATCTTGCTGGAAAACTCGCCAGTCTCCGAGACCGACGAGAGCGCGTCAAGCATGTGGCTGCGGGGCACGCGCACGTTGTTGAAGAGGATCTTGCCGTTGTCGACGCCGTTGCAGCCCATCTTGTGGCCCATGTCCTCGACGCGGACGTTCTCGGCCATCGTCATGTCTTCGTTGCGGATGCGGACGAGGAAGGCCTGGATACCGTGGTGCTCGCCCGCAACGTCGAGCTGGGCAAAGACGACGACCCACTTGGCATGCACTAGACAACGGAAGACGACATGAGCCATAGGGTGTCGGAGCGAGCGCTTGTACCGGCCGAGTTGGTGATCCAGTACTTTTGCGAGAGAATCGTGGGCGAGTTGATGATAAACTCGTCGGTCGCCTTGTCGTAGACGGCCGTCGTCTCCATCTCGATCGCGTTGTTGCCGTAGCCGAGTTCCGTGAGGCCAAAGCAGCCGACCGCATCTATGAGGCGTATAAGCACACAGTCCATCGCCATCATCAAATAGTAGGCGTCGTACCGAGCGAGTCGATGCCGTCGAGGAGCTTCTCGTGGTGCTTCTCAGTACCGAGCTTGAGCACGGTGCCACCAAAGAGGTTGAACTGCACCGTCATCTTGGTCGCCATCGACGGGTTGGTCAAGCCCGCAATCTCATGCGCCGCGTAGATGCGGTGCGGGTTGGTGTGGAAGTCCTTGACCGAGAAGAACTTGGCGTCGCAAATCTTCTGGAGCTGCGCCAGCGCAATCTCGCGCTCTTCGGCGAGCGGAATGTTGTAGCGCGGGCGAAAGCTCGGGTCCTTGAGGAACTCGCGCAGGCTCGAGCGCATCTCGACGTTGTCCGGGTCCAGCCACGTCGTGAGCTCCGATGTCGGAAAGCTGCCGTCGTTGTTGCCGTACTTGGTGCGCTCCTTGGCGACGTCAAAGCCCAGCGGGCGCGTGAATGCGACCGAGCTAGCGGCGCGCGCAAAGAGCGAAGAGCGGGCGACCGACTGTCGGGCTTGCAGCATCTTGAAAAGTACACCGACTAAGATCTGGCCAGGATCCGCCTCTGGGAACGAATACAATGTTTGAAAAGGTTTTCTACTTCAAGATCCCACGGTTGAGTAAACGAGGAAGTAACGAGATGCGCACGCGCCAAGATGCCGCCAGTTTGCCGTTGGGACCACGGCTGTGACGTGGCGCGTCGAGAAGCCAGAGATCGCTCGCTGCACATCGAAGGCCGCCTGGACGAATTGAGATGAAACACGGAACACGGGCACAAGCGCCAGCTGTAGAAAGGGGCCGTGTGAGCTTCTTACTGCCACGGAAAGCCTGGTGGGTCTGTTGTCGTAGCCGCCCACCGATGTACACTGTCATTGTTGACACTGGGTCGTTGGGCTTATGTAGGTAGCCTCCCTCTTTTTGATTGAACGACGTGTCCATGCAGCTCCTGGCGATCGCGACCCTTCACATAAAAGAGATAGCGACACGTTAATTTCCCCTTGGCCGCAACGAAGCGGGTGACATCCGTCTGTCGATGGCGGTGATGTTTACCGCGACAAATTATGTCGAGTCAACGGAAGCCGACACGTTGCTTGGGCGAATGAGCGGGCGGGCGCGTGGCGCGCTACCCAGGACACGCCATCGGACCGGCTGCTGATAGGGCGTCGTGATCTTGGGTCGGCAACGAGAGGCTGCCGGCGTTCGTAGTCGACCAGCTGGCGTGGACTGGCGACCGCATCTTGCCGGCCGGCCCACACTGGCCCACAGCAGCTCATATGACTGTGAAATGCACGTAGAGTGGTGCAGCTAGTCGCCTTGTGGTCATAAAATAGCGCCGCCTTTGGTGAGAAAGACGACATTCCATCTTCGGAGCCGACGAACGTCTCGTGCTGTAATTGGAGTGCGGATCCTGAGCCAGGTGTACCTGGTTGGCACCACAAAGGCCATCGCTTGATACACACTAAGTTCTGATCGCTGAGTTGGCTAAGCCAAGGGTAAGCACACGCTGTAGCGAGGGCCGGGTGAAAACACCGGGTTCTGAACCGCGAGCTTTGACGCCTCCTGATATGCAGCTGTGCACTGCCACCATGGACAAGCCCGTGGGCGGGTTGCATGCATCACGGCAGTCTTCTTCCAAGAAGCTACTTGGTGTTTGTACCCGCGAGAGTGGTTGTCGCTGGCTGATAAGCAAGACGATCTATTTTGAGTCGCGCCGAAAATAGGGCGCCGGCACTGCTGCGTCGGTAGTTTTGCTTTCGCAGCAGCCATGGGCGAGGAGGTCGAGAAGCACATCATGCGCAAGTACGACTTGCTCCAAAAGCTCGGCAAAGGGGTCCGGCATCGCGTCGCCACAACGTGCTCTCACGGTGTCTCTCGTAGGCGTACGGCATCGTGTGGAAGGCGACCGACAAGGCGACGCGGCAGCCCGTCGCGCTCAAGAAGTGCTTTGACGCCTTCCGCAACGCCACGGACGCGCAGCGCACGTTCCGCGAGATCATGTACCTCCAGGAGCTCAACGGCCACCCCAACATCATCCGCCTCCTCAACGTGGTCAAAGCCGACAACGACCGCGACATCTACCTCGTGTTCGACTTTATGGGTATAATCGCATCCTCCGACGCGTGGAAATCGTAGTACGCAAATGGGTAGAAACGGACTTGCATGCGGTCATACGCGCCAACATCTTGGAAGAGATTCATAAAAAGTATGTCACGTACCAGCTCATCAAGGCGCTCAAGTTCATGCACTCGGCCGACCTGCTCCATCGCGACATCAAGCCGAGCAACCTCCTCCTCAACGCCGACTGCCACACCAAGCTCTGCGACTTTGGCCTTTGCCGGTCCGTGTCTGAAATTGGCGGTCCCAACCCCGTGCTCACCGACTATGTCGCGACACGCTGGTACCGCGCGCCCGAGATCCTCTTGGGCTCGACGCGCTACACCAAAGCCGTCGACATGTGGGCGGTGGGCTGCATCGTGGCCGAGATGGTCACGGGCCGCCCGACCTTTCCCGGCACGTCGACCATGAACCAGCTCGAACGCATCCTAGAGGTCACCGGCGCGCCGTCGACGACCGACATTGAAAACATCAAGTCGCCGTTCGCTGCCACGATGCTCGAGAGTCTGCCGCCGCCCAAGACACAGACACTCGAGGAGCTCTTGCCGAAAGCGTCGCCGGAAGCCATCGACTTGGTCCGGAAATGTCTCTATGTAAGAACACTCAGTATATGGAGCTGCGTCTCATCAGAGATGTATAGTTTGATCCGGACAAGCGGATCACGGCCGACGAAGCGATCAAGCACCCGTTCGTCGCGCAGTTTCACGTCGAGAAGGACGAGCCCGTGGCCACGGCGCCGTGCCAAATCGTCGTCGACGACAACACGAAGTACTCGGCCGCCGACTACCGCGATCGACTCTACCGCGAAATCATCAAGAAGAAGAAGGACATTCGACGCCAAGGCACGCAAAAGGGCGACACCGTCGTCGGCGGCTCTGGTACGTCGCTTCACCGACCCGCAAGTACTTCGTGCCACCCTTGAAAGATGTAGAGCCTACGTCCACCAAGTAGTCAACCGAGCTGCACGACGATGCGGGACAGAGTCAATACGCAACACAAAACGTCTCGATCGTGTGTGTTCTCTTGTCCACGTTAGTATCACGTCGGTATGGTTTAGGAGGTTAGGGTAGGGGCTGGTGTTAGACACATGTGCGGTAGGGTCCTAGTCTGCGCGGGGAAATGGGGTACGAACATACTGTCGGCTAGTGCTTTCAATGGCATGCACACGCTTACAGCCGAAGCCGGGCGATCGATGGCGCCCAAGTAGTACGAGTACGCTTCTCGATGCGGTGTAGAGACGACACCACGGGATGACTTGCAACTCACTTTTCCCATAAAGCAAAAACGGGGGCAGAATAAAGAAGCGGGAGCTACCAATGACGGAACCATGCAGTGCGTGTAGGTCAAGGGTACATAAATTCAATATATATTGAATTTATATGCCCTTGGTGTAGGTACATGAACAGCGGGGGGTCGTTCAAGGCATGTGGTCCATCGCAAGGTGGTGTGAGGTTGCTCAAGGTGCCGGTTTTGGCCGTCACAGCATATTTTTCATTCTGTCGCTTAAAGTCCATTGGAATGCTATGGATTCTGTACAGCGCTTGCATGGATAAGAAAGAGCACAAAGAACTTGGAACAACAAGGGACGACGTGTGCATTACGGAGGTCGCTTCAATCCAGGACGTTCATCGTCATTTGGTTCGAAATGCGCTCCATGTCGCGCTCGTACATGTGGTTCAGCTCCTGGACGCTCGGCCCCTTGGTAACCGGGAACGATCGGCTGCGCGGCGGCGCGTGGTACGTACGCGGCGGCGTCCCGATCGCGGCAAAGCCCGGGGGCGGTGCCACGTGGGCTGAGGTCGACCGCGCGAAGGTCGGCGGCGGCGACACCGCGCGCGGGCGCATCGACATGATCGTGATAAAGAGCATGCGCACGACGAGCTGCGGGATCTTGGCGGCCGCAAACTCGGCCGGCGGCATGCTCGTCACCATCGCATCGTCGATCGCGCCGGATGCGACGTGGCGTCGAATGTCGGGCACTGTCAGCTTGGGCTTGGCGAGAAACGCAAAGAGCTGGGGCTTCGTGAGCGGCACATCGATCTCTGGCGCCGCGCCGCCTCGAGGCTCGCGAATCGCTTCATTCTGACTCGGCATGTCGCCCGTTTCTGTGGCGAGCTGCTCGTTGATCTCGGTGGCACGCGCTTCTTCTGTAGCTGTTGGCTCGTCGATCTCGCTGGCTCGTGGCTCGTCCGCTGGCTGCTTGTTGGTCTCTGTGGCTGGCGGCTCGTCGGTGGCTCTAAATACTGCATTGTCGTCGTCTTCTTCGCGCTGGGGTTCGTCGCATGGCTGCGACGAGGCGCGCGCCACATCCCCGTTCTTTATGTTTTCATGGTAGTCCTTGGTGTCATAGTCGTAGGTCATGTTGGCAGATGTGATACTGCAATCGTTGTTGTTGTTGTTGCTGCTGCTCGCGCCGTCGTCGCTCGTTTGCTCAGCACACGGTGCCATCCTCTCGCGTTTGGGTGTTGGCGCAGTGCGGGGCTGGCTGCTGCTCTTCTCTTTCGTGCACTTGATTACGGGGAGTCTCGGGACCGTGTTCATGGACATGGAGGGGTTCGGACTGCGGACCTCGCGTGGGCTTCTGTGATACTTGACGGCGTGGGCTGGACGGACCTAATGCCAATGTCAAACGACTGCGACCGAAAAGGAGCGTGCTTCGTACCTCCGGCAATCGTTGCTCATGGATGGTCTTGATGACCACGGGACTCGGTGCCGGGATAACAGTGCGGGCGGGTGGCGAATATGGGAGCTCGGCGGTGGTGCTCATGCGGACTTCGGCAAGTTTCGGGGTCGACGGCGGCGACACTAGAGCTACGCGGGGTGACGTGGGCGCGCGGCGAGGACTCAAAACTGCGGGCCGGGCCTTTCGATCTTTGCGCTTGCTGGCCTTCTTGGACGACGACGGGGTGCGCTGGTTATGAAGGGTCGCGCCTCTCGTGTCGTGGCGCCAATGAAGGAGGGCGCCGGCACAACACGTCGAGAGAACGAGGCAAAAGACCGCCGAGGTCGCATTGGTCGCGACAAGGAGCGCAACAATGTCATACAAAAGGGTGTGCGCGTGCTGCAAAACGATCCAGACCATGCCATCGGGGTGGAAGAAGAAGCTCGAGAGCGAGAGGAACGTGAGCCAGCTCAGAAAGCGCTTGAGCTTGGATTTCTCGCGGCGGTGCTCGGCGTAGAGCTCCAGCGCCGTTCGGACGAGGCTGCTCATGGCGACGACGACTTGGAAAATAGTGGCTTCATCACACCTAAGACCAAGGGGTTTCGCGTCCGAAAGGGCGCATGCCAGTCGGCCAATCATCGACGCGCGTGGCCTTTCAGCGGCCAATCGCAACGACGAGCCGAAACGACTGCTAAGATTAGCGCGCGCCACCTTGTCATGGCGGCCGACTACGACCCGCACACGAAGCAATGGATGCGCGAGGTACACGCATCTCTGCCTGCAACCGCAATAATGACGAAGCGGCGGCGTAGGCCATGATGAGCCGCGACATCATTGGCGACCTCGAAGTCGTCAACGCCAAGCTTCGCGCCGACCTCGATCGCAAAGTAAAGTCGCTTGCACCGAGACCGAGACCGACGCGAGAGATGTCTACTAGACCTTCCAACTCGACCTTATGGACGCATGCGTCTCTCAGATCGGAGAAGCTCCAGAGCGCGATCGACGCGCGGCTGCATCCGCCAAAGGACACGTACCGCATCTCACCGCTGACGGTGTCGCCGCGCAAGAAAGATGGCCGCAGCGACGAGCTCGTTTTTGGCGGCGGAAGCAACAAGTTGCACTACCACAATAAGATCTCAAAGCCTGATGACGCGTAGATTCGCCCATGGCAGCGAAGCGCTGCAACACATGATCGAAGCCCACACGCCTCGCAAGTACACATATCACATTGCCGTAGCCAACGCGTTCACTTTCATTATTCGTGTAGAGGCCACCCCATCTCACAGCCGTACGCGCCACCCCGTGAGCCCATCAGTCCGCGCAAGATCAAGCATGACGCGCAGCTATTTGGGAGCGCGTCACCAGAAAACAAGTGCGCCTGCCTGGAAAATGCGCCGTGTCACTCCTTGTGTGCAATAGGTTTGCCTTTGGAAGTCCTCGGCACAACGACTACGTCGAGCACCACCACGCTGTTCGGTGCGTTGGTTTGTGCAAATGACAATGGGAGTCCTCACCACGGGCTAGGACCAACGAGATCACAGAGTGCTCGAAACACGAACAAGGCTATGTGTGCGGCTCGGACGTATACCAGAAGACTGCTGCGTACGACAGCAGCTACTTGGGCCAAGTGAGCGCTCGATGGATGGCATGCGGTGGAATGGACACCTTGCGGTAGACGGCACGGACCGAGTTTGCACGCAGCTGGATCTTTGAGCGCGAAGAGGCTGCGCTGCGGCAATCCAAAGACATTTTTGGCAACGAAAAGAAGAAGCAGTCAGGACGGTGCGCGCAGCATGTCTGCAGATGGGTGATGATGACGCCAGCTAGGCCAGCACATACGCACGACTGCATTGACCAGCTCGTGCAGGCAACGGACCGGCGAAGTCCACGCCGGAGTGGCAACAATCCACACTAGTAATCTAATGTACAGCGAGTCTCTCCCATTCTGTCTCTCGCCAACGATCCGCGCCATTTGACCATCATTTGTCGCGCGCCTCTCAAAGATCTCGCACTTAATAGAGCCGTCGCCGAAAAGCGTACTTGAGCGGGTCGCGGACGGTGGTTGGTGGAAACAGAATCGCATTGGACAGGCTCGGGCGCGATGGACCTGCCGCCGACGTACGTAGCGGACCTCTACCGCCACGTGCTCCTGGGCGTGAAGGCGTCGAATGCGATTCCGAGCGGCGAAGATGAGTTTCATTTTCAGTACAAGTTCAACGAGGCCTTCCGCGGCCAAGCCGACGCACTCGGCGAGCGCGTCACGACGCTTCTGCAGCAGCTGCAGCACGTCAACAACAAGCTCAAGTCAGACAACGACGACAACGATGTCGCCGTGTTTGACCCGCTAGAAGAGAATGGCCCGCTCACCGACCTCGTCGACTCGCTCCTCGAAGATGCGTCCAAGCAGATCGAGCGCTTCCAGAAGGGCGAGGTGCAGGCAACGCCCGCGGCGGCGACACCCGCTGCGCCAACGGCGGCCGTCACGACCAATGCGGCGATCAACAAGCCGCAGGAGAAGTTTGCAGACAAGATTGACAACTCGGATGCGCCGTTCGTGAGCAAGTTGAAGACCAAGGTGCACGCCGCGACCGTGGCCACGGAACAGGACACGACAGGGTCGGACGAGCCGTACCACCCGTATCGATCCGAAATTGCATCGCTCACGTACCAGCCGTGGCAGCTCGCGCCGTCGACCGAGAAGCGCGAAATGATCTCGCTCGAGAAGGCGACGTACACGTGGGTCGACACGGAAGAGGCGCTCGCGGCGATGCTGGCGACGCTATCAACAGCCGACATCCTCGCGATCGACCTCGAGCACCACAGCTACCGCTCGTACCAAGGGTTTCTCTGTCTCATGCAGATCTCGACGTGGGACGCCGACTGGCTCGTGGACACGCTGGCGCTGCGCGCGCACCTCGAGGCGCTCAACACGATCTTTTGCGACCCGACGAAACTCAAGGTGCTCCACGGCGCCGACATGGACATTCTCTGGCTGCAGCGCGACTTTGGCGTGTACATTGTCAACATGTTTGACACGGGCCAGGCCGCGCGCTGCCTCCAGTACCCGCGCTTCTCGCTCAAGTACCTCCTCCAGACGCACTGCAATGTGACCGCCGACAAGCAGTACCAGCTCGCCGACTGGCGCGTGCGTCCGCTGGACGACCCGCTCGTCAAGTACGCCCGCGAAGACACGCGGTACCTCCTCTTCATTTACGAGAACCTCAAGCGCGAGCTCGTGTCGCACAAGAGCGGCGCGACCAATCTGCTGCACCAAGTGTACGCACAGTCGGCCGCCGTCGCGCTCTCCGTGTACGAGAAGCCCAAGGTGCCAACGTTTGACGAGCTCTTTGACATGGCGCTCAAGCTCAAGAGCACGGTGGGCCTCGAGACGATTTCGGACAACCAAGCGCACATCTTTGAGCAATTGTACCTCTGGCGCGACACCCTCGCACGCGCGCTCGACGAGTCGCCGGGCTACGTGTGCCCCAACGCGGTGCTTTTGAAGATCATGAAGGGTGTGCCGACAACGCCCGCCGCGCTCTTCCGCCTCTGCAACCCGGTGCCGCCGCTTCTCCGCAAGCACGCGCACGAGCTCACGTTGCTCATTGCGCGCGAAGCGTCGGCGCCCACTACCGCTGTGGCTCCGGTGGCACTTGCGAAGAAGAAGACGACAACGTTGCTCGTGCACGAAGAGAACGATCAGATTTACGGCTTTGCGGGCTGGAAGGTTCCCAAGCGCACGACGACGGCGGTCGTCGCCGAGGCGTCGTCGTCGCTGGCGCCAGCCTTCGACATGCAGTTGGAAGCGGACGGCCATGCCGCGCTCGAGAAGGTGCGGGCGGCCCTTGCGGCCACAGCGTTTGTCGTCGTCGACTTTATGGAGAAGACGCCCGCGCCTGTTGTTGCGGCACCGGCCCCCAAGGAGGAAGAGGAAGACGTGTACGTGGCGCCCAAGTCTCTCACGGAGAACTACCCGAAGCTCAAGAAGCGCAAGTTTGAGAGCAAGGCGACCAAGGACGCGGCCGCAGCGACGGCGGCGCTCAACCCTGTCGACGAAGCGGCACCGTTGAAGGCTTCAACTATGCAGCTGCGGCGGCGAGTGTCGAAGCCTCCAAGATGGACGTGGATGCGATGCTCAAGCAGCAGGAAGACGACAAGCGCAAGAAGCGGCGGGCAGGCTACAACCCGTTCGTTGGCGGCAAGGACGTGGTCAACCAAAAGCGCGGCTACAACGCGCCGCGAAGCTCGACCTTTCGGTAATCGTATGCATCTAAGACGCTGCGATAGATGATATAAGGATGATAACAACTATGTATGGTAAAATCAACCGCGGAAGGCAGTCGTCTGTTCTTGCTGCTACTTACTTGCTCTTGGTATCGTACCGACGGTCGTGACTACGCCGACGCCGCTTCGAGGAATGCTCGGGCGACGGCGACCGGCTGCGCTTTCGACGCCGGGGCTCGCGCGATCGGGACCGACGAAGCTCTCGGGAGCGTGACCGACGGACCTCTCGGGAGCGGGACCGACGACGCTGACGAGGCTCACGACTCCGAGATCGACCCCGACGCGCCTGGTCTCGGTCGTAGTTGCGTACGTCCAATGGATCCCGCAGCGCCATGAGCGCTCGGCGGCGACTACATAGCAGAAGAGAGAGATGGGGAAGGATGACGGGAATGAACGCTGCTGTCGTCGTACCTCTCTGCGTCGTGGTCGACGGGCGTTGCTGTCGTGGGCGCAATGTCACTTGCTGGTGCGGCAGCGAGATGCCAGCCGTCACGCTGCGCGAGGTCAGCCATTTGGTGGTCGAGCATTTCGCGCACAACCTAGCATCACGTCATGATGACGTGCATCCATTGAGGTAGAACGACCGCCGTACATCGTGGTAGCTTCGTTTTGTGTTCTTGGCGCGATACGACATGCGCCGGCGCTTGTTGGAAGGTGCTGCAGTGACGACTAGTACAGCCGGCTTGAAGGGAGGTCTGCATAGAATACTACAGTACCTGGGAGGGTGGGTACGCTGGGCTGCTTTGGCGGTGGCGCGACTTGCACGAGCGCTTGCAGCTGAAGCTCGTCCTGCGATCGTGCATCGTTCTAAGCGACAATGCATGAGTCGTGTTTTCTGGAAGCAATACCGCGTACGTAGACCATGCGGCGAGCGACTTCGACGGCCAAGTACTTCCAAAGCGCCAACACAAACGCCTAGCACGCCACAGAGATAGATGTATGCAGTGCTTTCTGTGCCCAATGACAGCGTACGCTGGTTTTTTCTTCGAGAAACTCGGTCAGCTCGGCGACCAGGATGTCGGGCTGGCAAAAGTCCGGGTGGTCAAGGAGACCGAGGACGTAGTCGGTGAGGTCTTCGTCCATCTCGTCCGCCGACAAGTGTCTACGAGCAGGTGTATCGTCGAGAGATCCTGAAACCTCATGGACGTACGTGCGAAAGTAGCCGTGCACCCAGCGCTTCGTATCGGCCACGAAGGCGCTCGTGTCCAAGCGCTGGAAGGCGCGGGGAATGGCCGTCCATGCCTGCGCCGAAGAGAAAAAGTCGACAGCGTTCGCAGCCATCGCAAGCACCGCCGTCGGAATATCGCTGGCCTCGCGTCCAGAGCGCTCGACGAGCGAGTGGACCTCGTCGTCCACGGTCGTCGTCGAGACGTCCGTGACCCCGTCGTCGTCAAAGTATGCATTGTCCATGTGCAGAAAATGGGGCGTCGTGCTAGCGGCCGCGGGGACAAAGGCCGCGGGCTCTCGAATATGGCTCTGGGTGGTCTCGCCCGAAGCTGGCTTCGTCGCGCGAATGTTCTCGACATGGGGCATCTTCTCGTAGAAGAACTATGGTCGTCCATGGAGCCATCATCTTCATTTGCATGGAGAGCTCGTACCTCGTGGGACGTGTGGTGCTCGTCGTCAATGCCATGGCAGCGCTTCTATACATGCGTGAGCTGCCTTTGAGGTCATGGCGAAGCTGTACCAAGTGGCGGCCAAGGGCTCCTGGCGGTACGCGGTGCTCGGGGATGCACTTGCAGCTCACGTCGTCCAGAGTAGGGTACAGAGAGAGCTCTGTCTCCTTGAGGAAGGCCATCATGCGAGCTTCCATGGCCTCGAGCTCCATCTGCATCGACCGGTTGGCCGCCAGCCGGTCCGCAAGCGCGGCCTCAAGCACGGCCGCCATCGCGATCGAAAATGATTCAAATGGCGCCCCCTGATTGGTTGAAAATATCTTGCAGGCTTCCTGTCAGAATGCATATGCAATAGTATTGTATTCATACAGGATATGATTTGCTGCAGAGGATCGAAGGTTCGCGAACCGAGGTCCATCGCGGGCCGCTGCGCGTCGGTTTATAAATCCTGCAGCGGATTTCGCAGCGCCGCAGCAGCAAAAACGTGGAAAATGACTTCGCACGTGCATGTCTTGGTGCATACGACCCCGTCGCCAATGGATAAAGCACCCAAGCCATGGGCCCACAAGAATTCTCTTCGCCGATGCCAATTGACTGCAATGCCTTCATTTGATTCGTCAAAACCGGACCTTGGTTGGCTTGTGATTGGCCAAAATGGCACGCATCACTGCAGCCCTGCCCCACCGTCCGGGGCAACCGCCCGGTGCATAGACGCGGATCGGGGTAGAAATGGCGCATGGCCCATACATTAGCCGGGATACCCCGGGGCATCCCCGAATCCCCCTCCTCTGGCGGCAATGGCGTTTGAAGCCACGATATAGCCAATCAGAGCGTGTGGTGTCGCCGTGCGCTGCGCAGATTGGCTGCTGCGTGGTTTTACGCCCGTGACGTCGCTGCGTCGGCGTACCTTGGAGATTCGCCATGACCGCAGCTTGGTCTTCATTTCCGCTTTTGCTCGCTCTAGCCAACACTACTACCATGGGTCTCCTCGATATTGTCAAGCCCGGCGTCCTCACCGGCGACGACGTCATGGCCGTCTACACGTACGCCAAGAAGCACGGCTTCGCCATCCCTGCCGTCAACTGCACGAGCTCGAGCACGATCAACGCCGTGCTCCAGGCTGCCCGCGACAACGGCTCGCCGGTCGTGATTCAGTTCTCGAACGGTGGTGCTGCCTTCTACGCTGGTAAGGGCATCTCCAACAAGGGTGAGGCTGCCTCGATCGCCGGTGCCGTCGCCGGTGCCCACCACGTCCGCCTCATGGCCAAGCACTACGGCGTGCCGGTCATCCTCCACTCGGACCACTGCGCCAAGAAGCTCCTTCCGTGGTTCGATGGCATGCTCGCCGCCGACGAAGAGTACTTTGCCATCCACGGCGAGCCGCTCTTCTCGTCGCACATGCTCGACTTGTCGGAGGAGCCCCTTGAAGAGAACGTCCAGATCTCGAAGGAGTACTTCAAGCGCATGGCCAAGATGAACCTCGTGCTCGAAATCGAGCTCGGCATCACGGGCGGCGAAGAGGATGGCGTCGACAACTCGGACGTCGACAACGCTTCGCTCTACTCGCAGCCCTCGGACATCATGTACGCCTACGAAGAGCTCTCGCAGGTCTCGCACCGCTTCACGATCGCCGCTGCCTTCGGCAACGTGCACGGTGTCTACAAGCCCGGTAACGTCAAGCTCCACCCCGAGCTCCTCCAGGGCTTCCAGGAGCACGTCGCTGCCAAGCTCAACAACGGCACGGACAAGCCCGTCTACTTCGTCTTCCACGGCGGTTCGGGCTCGACGGAAGAAGAGATCACGACGGCTGTCGGCGCCGGCGTTGTCAAGATGAACATTGACACGGATACGCAGTGGGCGTACTGGAACGGTCTCCGCCAGTTCTACCTCTCGAAGGAAGGCTACCTCCAGGGCCAGATCGGCAACCCGGATGGCGAGGACAAGCCCAACAAGAAGTACTACGACCCGCGCGTCTGGGTCCGCAAGGCTGAGGAAGAGATGATTGTCCGCGTGAAGGAGGCCTACAGCAACCTCCGCAACGTCAACGTCTTGTAAACCGCTTTGCGCAATCTAGTCGATTTGATTTAGTTTTTCCGACTCTCCTCGTTAGTCAGTGTGCGGCCCCTGGTGGCTTCCTCGGTGACCAGACGTTGTGGCTCTACGATCTTGGCCCGCCAGCTGCTGTCACTGGATTTTCCAGTCGTGGGACAAATCCATTGGGTTTTTCCATTTGTCCCCAATTGTGGTTTAGTTAGTCGAACAAGATATGGCCGAGTTTGGCGAAGGGACACATATCGAAAGACTGCTACCATGCTCGAGATGAACAAGGAGTCGCTGCGCAAGATCTGCAAGGACCTCGACCTGTACTCGACGCCAAGCATCAACGATCGGCTCTACCTCCACTACAAGGTGCGCCTACTGCATCGGTGGCAGCTGGCTAATGCGGCGCAGGGCTTTCGCCGCATCGAGAACCTCCAAGAGTACACGGAGCTCAAGGTCCTTTGGCTCGAGGGCAATGGCTTTAGCAAGATCGAGGGCCTCGAGAACCAAACGAAGCTTCGTTCGCTCTTCCTGCACGAAAATCTGCTCGAGAAGATCGAAGGCCTCGGTAGCCAGGTACAGGAATGAATGAGACCGTATCTGCCATCCCGCTGCTGTAGACGCTCCTCGACACGCTCAACTTGACGCAAAATCACATTTCAAAGATCGAGAACCTGAGTCACATGCAAGCACTCACGGTACCGATCACGAGGGTAATGACAGTGGACGTCGCTGCTGTAGAACTTGTCGATGAAGGGCAACTACCTTCGAACCGCAGACGACATTCGCCATGTGCTCGAGCTCCCGACGCTAGCCGTGCTCGACATTCAGAGCAACCGCATCGCAGACGTCGACGTCGTGGACATCCTTGCGGCCATGCCCAACCTCCGCGTCTTGTACCTTCAAGTACATCACATGTCTTGAGGCTTGTCCGAGACGACGCGCATATGTAGGGCAATGACGTCGTGAAGCACATCAAGCACTACCGCAAGACGATCATCTCGCGCTGCAAGGAGCTCCGGTACCTCGATGACCGACCCGTCTTTGACGAGGAGCGCCGCCGCGTCACGGTATCGTCTATATGGACTGTAATGAGCGACGTCATGAGGTTGCAGGCGTGGGGGCGCGTCATGGAGGAGACGAACGGCGATGTGGATGCCGCCCTCGAGGCCGAGCGCGCCGAGCTGGCACTCATTCGCCAAGAAAAGAAGGACAAGGACGAAGCCAACTTTCGGTACTTTGAAGACATGATGCGCGCAGGCAAGGCGGAGCGCGAGCGTCGAGAGCGCGAACTTCACGACAACCAGCGCGAGGCCGAAGTGCGTGCTGCACCCTTTGCTCTGGATGCACACGCCACGTACGCCATAGATGAGTCCGTACAGCGGCGAAAAGATCATCCACGTCGAAGACTGCGCTATGGTGCGCCAAGCCCGCGAACGCCGGTGGGCCGACGTCGTCAACGACGAGGCGCCAAGCACGCCGATCTTTGTGGACGCAGACCGCCTCAAGCTGCTGCATGACTGCGCCAGTGTCGGCACGGGCGCCGTCACCCAAGCCGATGCGTTCGTGGCCGAGAATTTTAAGGAGAAAGCGCAGGCCAAGATCGCAGCATTCCAAACGATGGAGGGGCCAAAGGGGCACTTTTCGTCGCTCCTCGCGTCTGCGCAAGCTGACATGGCAGCCACACCGACGCCCACACTCTCTTCAAAGGCGCACACGGACCTCTGCGAGCTCGACTGATCAAGATCGACTTGGTAGCCTACACTGTACGTGTTCATAAAGCAACGTCCTTGACCGGACTTGTCGACGCGGCACGTTGGAGCTGGTGGAACGATGTGGTCTCGAACACGACGCCTTGTGTCCTCGTCGCCGACTACATCAATATCCCATAGTCTGGCACGACCACGGAATGTTCTCAACCCGGCAACACCACGTCGAACCGGTCGCATAAACGTTTGTGCTTCGCAATGCAACGCACGGCTCTCGATGATTGTGAGGAGATGTCTTCGCATGCGCTGGCTATACTCGCTTTATGTGTTGAGAATTAGCTCGGCGGCCCCGACGCGCGTGCTGGCCACGCGCCGCACGTCTTGCAAAAGTACTGTTCAGGGCGCTCGAGTTGGAAGCCGCACTGAATGCAAGGGTCCGAGTCAAAGCGCTTCACCGCACACGTCCAGCGACCGGGCGAAGCACCTCGGTGGGCTTGCGCGGTGCTGGGTGCCAGTCGTGGCTCGACGGAGCTCGGACCTTTTTCATAAAAGATGCGCTTGAAGATCGTGTAGTAGTGCAAATGCTCGGGGTCTCGGAGCACGATGCCATCGTCCAGAAACACAGCGCGCTTCTTGACCTCAAAGCGATCTGGGTCGCATCTCTCTTTGAAGAGCGCTGCAAGAGGCGTCGTGCCCGAGCCTACGCGTGGTCCTCGCACATTCTCGAACTATCCTCGGACTCATACCTGTTTCCAGCGGCACCTTGGTGCGCCAACACGAGTGTGCTTCCGGGAACGCTTGCCGCAAGATGAGCTTGCCATGGACGAGCGCGCCATCACGGACGTCGGGCCCAACCAAGTCGTCTTTTCGCACGTAAGCGCAAAGGCAATCACGTCGGGATGGACAAAGGGCTGGTGCACGGTCATGCCGAGCGCCGCGCCGATCGCTGTGCTGCAAAACTGCATGTGCGCCGATGCGCGCTGGATCCACGCGAGAAGTTTCTCTTCTGGCTGCGACGTAAGAAACGAGTAGCCAGCAAAGAGCTCGTCGGCCGCGTCGCCCGTGACGATCGACGTGATGCCAATGGCCTTGGCATGCTGCAGCGCCTTCGTGATGGCGACACCACCACGCAGATCCATGGGGTCGAACGTCTCCAAGATCCGGATTGTGAGCGCCAGAGCGCCGTTGGGATCGTCATGCATAAGGTCCATGGGGTCGGGATAGCTTAAAACGTGGTGCGTCAACCCATGCGCGGACGCAATCGCTGTCGCGTAGGCGAGGTCGTGCTCCGGTTGATCCGTCGGGCCGCAGGACACTGTGATGGCGTCCGTAAAGCGGTGGCCAGAGGTAGCATCCACGATGATCGATGTATCCAGGCCCCCAGAGAGAAGAACAGCCGTCGTCGCCGACGGGATCGCGCCAATGGACCGCAAGAGCACCGCGCGGGCCTCGGCGATCTTGGCCCCTGATGTCATCCGGAAGAATGCTACATGCCGGATACGGTGAACGAGCCGAGGGCATCGAAGACGGTAGCGCTGGCGGACGTCAGCAGCAACATCGTAGACAAGACTTGCACCTTCATGGGATCTACGACGTGCTTTCGACGGGCTCCTCTGCGACTGTGCCAATGCGCGCAATCCGAGTCGACCTGATCGCGGCGACGAGGCGAAGGACTGCGCCGCCGTGTCTTTGGCCCTCGCACAGAAGACATGCAATGCAGTAATTGGCTGCGTACTGCGCACTGCAGCAAGCGTAACTGCGCGCGGTAGCTGGTGCTCGAATTGAGGAGCTCGGTCGGCGGTCGGGCCCATCTCGGGGTAGCTCCCGGACGATGTCGAGGGATCTTTTTCGATAAACCGGATACGGAGCGCGCCAATCACACGCAGGGAGCAAGATCAGCTTGGTATTTGTATGGCCGTGTGTCGCATCCGGATACTGGGCACCGCGGCCGGCTTTGGCCATTTTGACTTCGCCAGCACAAGAACAAGCCGAAGAAGCATGGTCATCAACTCGCCGTACCACTCGTCGATGGGCAAGGAGATCGAGAAGGCCTGCAAGATCCTCGATGCGTTCTTCGACCCGAAGGTCGACGCGGACAAGGCCATTCCGTTCGAGCTCATCCAGAACGCGGCGGGTATTGCGTTCCTTACCGTCATCAAGGCCGGCATGATCTGGACTGGCAAGGTTGGCACTGGTGTCGTGCTCTCGCGCCTCGACGATGGCACGTGGAGCCCGCCGTCTGGCATTGGCACAGCCGGTGTTGGCTTTGGTGCGGAAATCGGAGGCGAAATCATCGATTTTATGATCATCCTCGGCTCGCCCAGCGCCGTGCAGTCGTTCAAGAAGGGCACGCAGGTACCGTGACTGCCGCTGCAACCGCAACTTATCAATGTGATGTAGCTTTCGGTGGGCGCAGGCCTGGAGCTTGCCGTCGGTCCCGTCGGCCGTGCTGGTGGCGCCAACGTCAACGCTGGCGGCAGCGGCCTCAGCAGCAACTATACGTACAGTCACGCAAAGGGTCTCTTTGCCGGCGTTGGCCTCCACGGCTCGACCATCATGGTTCGCGGCGAAATGAACAACGAGTTTTACGGCAAGGAGGTGTCACCGATGCAGATTCTGAGCGGTCACGTCGCGCCGCCGCCGGGGTCGTGCGATCGCCTTTACGAGACGCTTCAGCGCGCGTGCATTGGCGACATGGGCTCCTCCGGTCGTGCAGGTCTCTCCGAGGTACGAGACGCATCCTACGCATTGCATGTACTCACAGACAATGATGGATGTAGCCGATGCAAGCCATTCCACCGTCGGCCTATGGGCGCAGCAGCATGACGGACTACAGCGACCAGCGCCGGTCGTTTAACAGCAGCAGCGGCTCGTCGTCGTCGACCTCGTACAACCCGCCGTCGTCACGCACCACCGCGCCGTCCAACTATGACCCAATGGCGCGCAACTCGATCTTGGGCTCAAGCGCCGAGAGCGAAGTGTCGAAAGAAACGGACCCGCGCCTGCGTCGGTACAGCAGCTACAAGAACGAGAAGGACCTGTACGCCCAATTCGCCAAGAAGGCGCCGACGCACACGAGTCAGCCGTCGGCGTACGCGCCGGCACAAACCAACGCGGGGTATTACGCCCAACCGGCCGCGGCCGCAGCGCCCACGGGCTACTATGCACAGCCAGCGGCCTCGAGCTATGCACAGCCGACGGCCCCGAGCTACGCTCAACCGACGACGGGCTATGCTGCACCGGCTACATCGTCGCGGGCGGCGCCCTCGATGCCTCCGGCCGCGGAAGGTGCCGAGACCAAGCAAGTCTTTGGCGAAGTGATTCAGTTTATGACGACGCGCGTGCCGCACGCCGACCTCTCGATGTTCAAGGACAACTGCCGCCGATTTGGGCAGGACCAAATGTCGATTGACGCGTTCTTCTTTTACCTCAACTCGATCTGCACGTCGAGCTTGCTCAAGGAGCTCATGCCCAAGCTCGTGCGGTTGCTGCCGACGCCCGAGAAGCGCGTCGCCATGTGGGTACGTCGTCCGACACCGAGTCCAATCTCTCAGAACTTATTTCCGATGGCCTTAGGATCTGTACGTCAAACACGTCTACTAGTCGGTTTGGCACCCTCCCTAATAATACAAACTTGTCCCAACTGCATGACGTGTGCTGTTGAAAGGTCCACATGGGATCGACGTGTGGAAGCTTGTCCTGGAGCAGGCGTCTCGGGTCGATTCATTTCACTTCCGGTGAGGTAGTCGTTTCGTCACTTTTCGGTGAAGCGTCGCGATGATCTTGACGCAAGAGGAAATCGATGCGTGCCGCGAGTCGTTCGTGCACTTTGACAGAGACGGGTCCGGTACGATCGACAAGTATGAGCTCGCCAAGGTGCTCGAGGCCATGGGCCAGCGACCCACGGAGGAGGAGCTCTTCCAGATGATCTCCGAGGTCGACGAGGCGTCGCGATGATCTTGACGCAAGAGGAAATCGATGCGTGCCGCGAGTCGTTCGTGCACTTTGACAGAGACGGGTCCGGTACGATCGACAAGTATGAGCTCGCCAAGGTGCTCGAGGCCATGGGCCAGCGACCCACGGAGGAGGAGCTCTTCCAGATGATCTCCGAGGTCGACGAGGACCACAGCGGCGAGATCGAGTTCTCCGAGTTCCTCCAAGTCATTGAGCAGCAAAAGCTCCGCGCACTCGAGTACGACGACGAGAGCGACTTTGTCGACGCGTTCGTGGCCTGCGGCGGCGGTCCCGACAAGCAAGGCCACGTCGAACGCCGCGTGCTCGTCCAGCTCATCAAGAAGGACTTTGGTCTGCCCATTGACATTGACAAGATGCTCGATGAGCTCGACACGGACGGGTCGGGCGAGATCGAGTACGACGAGTTCAAGGCGCTCCTCTCGCAGTGAGACCGGTCTGGCTGGTATCAACAGCGAAAGAATAGAAATGCGGATATAAGATTGACAAGATTTACTTGCGGGGCGGCGCAATGTTCTGCGGCAACGCCTTACCGTAGCCGGACCGGAACGTCGTGCCCTGCGCACCTTCGTCGACGGGCGTCTTGGTGGAGGGCTTGGCCCATTCGAGCTTGAGAATCAAGTGATCGTAACCGTAGCCCTGGAGCTTGTCCATCGCCTTCTGGGCGTCCTCGCGGTACACGTACGACACGAACGCAAACCCTCGCGACTGGAACGTCTCGCGGTCCTTGGCCAAGTACACGCGCTCGAGCGGACCGAAGACGCGGAAAAGGTCCTTCAGATCGTCTTCGCGCGTCTCGGGCGAAATGTTGGTGACACGGAGCGTCGCGCTGTCCTTGTCGGCGACCGGCGCACGGACGTCGTCCGAGGGAGCGGACGCGCCACGCATCGACGGCGGCACGTACTTGCCACCGGCGGCGTGGGCAAAGCTGAGCGCACGCGTCGGGGCCGCAGCAGGCGCGGCCGGCGCAGACGTCTCATCGTCGTCGCGGGGCATGTCCGACATGTCGGTCATCGGCGCCGCCGAGTCCTTGTACGGGCACTTGAGCGTCCAATGGTCGCCGACCATACCGCAATGACGGCACACGACGATCGACTGCTTGCTGACGCCCGAAAAGATGCTTTCCTTCTCCTTCTCCTCGCCGGGAAGCACCTGGTCCGCGCTCGGGTCTTCCATAAAGATCTACGAGAGAAAGCCCATAAGAACTCATAGTCTGGCACCGTCGCCATGCTTACCGCTTACGGCACACGACGATCGACTGCTTGCTGACGCCCGAAAAGATGCTTTCCTTCTCCTTCTCCTCGCCGGGAAGCACCTGGTCCGCGCTCGGGTCTTCCATAAAGATCTACGAGAGAAAGCCCATAAGAACTCATAGTCTGGCACCGTCGCCATGCTTACCGCTTCCGGGGGCGTGTACGTCACGTTGTTGTTGCTGCCTTCCTGGAGAGCCTCGCCAAACTTGCTCATCGACTAGCGCATGATGCTCGTGAGCGAGGCGATTGGCAAAGGACGACGTACCTGGCGGTCGAGCACACGCTTGCTCACGCGCGTCGTCTCGTGGACCTTCTTGATCGTGGTCGTGACCTTGACCTTGTTCTTGTTGTCGTCGAACTTCCACGCCACGATCGTCTTGACGCCATCGACCTCGGTCTCCGTGCGCGGCGGCAGCACGTCGTCGTCGTCGCCCCAGCGCTGCTGTCCAAACACCATTTTTCCTGAGTTGCGCTACTTGACTGGTGCCAGCCGAGTATGATTTCCGGATACAGCGCCGCCAAAACGGGTCGTTTGTCCGGATACGAGGTGCAGTCTCTCGCACAATAATAGTGTGCAAGAGTGAACGCGACCACACTATTATTTGATAGAGATGGAAGACGAGGTATTACGGTGCTCGAGCGTCCTCTGCACCGACAAGGGCGTCCAAGCTACACTTTATGCCTGTAAAGTTGCTGGATGTGTGTTCGAGCTGCAAACGGCAAACGATGCGTAGATGGGATGCACGGTCTCCAGCGTCATGAATAGTACTAGTACACTATATTCGTTGTAATCGAAAATTGACAGTGAGTGACCGGCGTGACGTTGACACCATTTGAGGTAGAAAGCAAACGGACATCGGCACTCAATAGTGTAATACACACCATTTAATCCCAATGTGCAAGAAGTACCCAATGGTGTTAGTCACACTACTTTATTGATGGTTGGACTTTATGGTGTGCGTTTGAGATCCGGATGGCAAAGTGCTTATCCGAACGCGGTTTGCCATGACAAGCATCCGGAAAAAACCTTCTACAGGTACCGTGCTATCCGGAATGGATTTCTCGTTGGCACACAGCACAGATTTCTGGTCCTCCTTGTCTTTGTTGTACAGTGTAGCACACTGATTCCGTGCTGGATACTGCCGCAGGATGCATGAAGGAGCCACTGATCGATAGATGGTAGATGTGTACCGATGGAGGCAAGCCGACAGCTCGATCGTTGCGCAAAAGCAGGTGCAGCTACCTACTAGAGAGGAGCGGACTCACGCGTCCTTGAGGCATACACCCATCGCACAATCTATCCTTTCGCAGCTCCAAGCAAACTCTGAAGCAGCGATGACGATGCGAGGCTTCTGCAGTAAATTGATTGTGCAACATCGTGCCAACATGTCGCGGTCTTGCTTGCCGTCGGCGCAGTGGGTCCGCGGTCACCCAAGAGCGGCCATAAGAGCGGCTACGATCTTGCCGACGGAGATCTTGGTCTCTTGTGCTGCAAAGGCAGAAGGTCATCCACAGGCGAGACGATCGGCCTGGCGCATGGCTACGAGAGGTCGCGCGCGCGGCTTCGCAACGTCCACGTGGCGTTCGGTCTATCTTAGTGGGTTGATACACGGAGCCGTTTGTGGGGCCCGAGGACGCCGAACGCAAATCCTATCCCTTGCTAGACACTCCTGTAACTCGATTGAAGCGAGGCCGTACAAGGTGGCGTCGTCATTCGGCTCGAGTAGCAACGCTTTTTTCAAACCAGCGCCCATGATACTTCGGCCGAAGATCTTTGGGTGCGTGGCAGCTTGACAGACAAGCACGCCATTGCCTCGCCGTTCCGTGAGCTTGGGTATTGCTAAGCGGCTGTAATGGATGGCTTCAAAGTCTGGTGCCGATGTATGGTGCACGGCGGGCGCCGATTGGCCGACACGTCCGAGCCCCGACCAGCTGGGGTGCCACATCCTTGATCTGAAAAGGATGCGGAATATCTTGCCGTTTGTATACAATGCGCATCGCATCGACAAAAAAATCCGTAGCGCCAGTCATGATTTCGGCCAATCATATATCGTATCTCCGTCACAATGCCATTCGATTGGACAAAAAGATTCTTTAGGCGCTCCTTTTTTAAATTGCGCGCTCAAGTATGCTCCAAGCAGGCGGCGCGAGATATAATTTCAACCGCGTGGATTGAATTTGAAGCAATGGACGGTCCGGACGCGGTTGCCGTGTAGTATCCTTCGAAGTCGAAGGCGTCGTTTTTGGCGGCTTCTGAGATTGCGGCCGACCAGACAAGGACGACCAGGGCTCCTTTGAATTTTTGTACGCGCTTGATCTTTCGTAGCAGCTATATCCAGGTCCTTGATTTTATTAATATGGTACGAAAATGCCCAAGCACCCGCTTCGCAGAACCCGGGTCCGGGTCCAACAGCAAGGCGACATGTCCCAGGCGGACCATTTTATTCGTGTCTTCTTTTTTATTGCATACAAATCGCAAGGTCGAGTCTAAAAAAGTTGGTCGGTGACGGGCAGAGTGGCACACAAGATCCAGTTGGTGATACGTTTTCAGAGGCAGCAATAATATTAGAAACGAGAGGTGTATCGCGGCCAGAGCTCACTTTTGAACTCGCCATGTCCAAGGACTTTCGCAGCGCGCGCATGCTCTCGATCTCGTGCTCGCAACCGATGGCGATCCCTGCCCGCTTCGCGCCGCAGGACGACGAGAGCCCCGTCGAAAAGTCGTCGCTGGCCAAGAGCAAGAAGGCCAAGTGCGTCCTGAGCCTCAACGTGACGGAGGCGCCGGCCATGCGTGGCACGGCCATGTACGAGGTCAAGGTCTCGTACAACAACAACAAGCAGACGCGCATGATGAAGACGCTCAAGGAGTTTCTGACGTTCAAGAGCATGTTCCAGCTCCTTGCGCTGACCTCCAAGAAGGGCAACAACTGCTGCGCCTTGTGCCAAGACGTGTCGCAGCTGCCCTGCATCTCGACACAGGTCTCGGGCCGTAGCGACAACGCCGCCGACATTCTCGACTCGTTCCTCTCGAACCTCATTGAGAAGCTCCAGGCGTGCGCTTCGCCGACGATCCTCGAGTGCTCGGCCCACATGGGCGTCGTGAGCATCATGACCGAGTTCCTTGAGCTGCGCAACGGCCTGTATTTGTGCCAAGAAGACGACTCGTACAGCAGCGACGAAGACACGCTTCCGATCTCGCACTGCTCTTTGTCCAAGAGCCTCTCGAAGCAGTTTGCGGCGTACGACGCTGTCTGCTAAGCTGCCCGACATGCCCCTCGCGCGCCGCCATGCCCACCCGAACCCCTCTTATTTAAGTTTCGCTGCGCGCGACTGGGCAAGGCTCGCACGTGTGTAGTTGTAGTTGGTTGAATCATGCTGTACCATATCTAAAGTCAACTCGAAGCATGTGACCGTTGTCTTGATCCTCAATTTTAAACCGCTGCGGTTTCAACGGGAACATGGGCGGTCGCGCGGTACGTTCCACCGAACGACGCGGGATGTTGAAGGGGAGATGTGTAGAAGTCGTCCGCTGCCGCAAACAATCTGAACCGAGGAGTCCAGGCGGTGGCGACAGCTGGTGCGTCATCAAGCGCTTTGGTGCTCAATGACATCGATCGGCTACTGCGCGTCACGGCGCCGGTCGTGACGTGTCGACGCAAGCACGCGCAGCTGGTCGAGAACCAAGCGCCGCCCCACAAAGGGCATGCGTTTGCTCGCGCGGCGAGAACGTCCTCGTCGCCTGCGCCAAAGACGCGGCCGAGTCCAGCATCGTATGCACCGATGCTCGTGGCCAAGCGGGTGCCCGGCCTCGCGTGGCGCCCGCCTCCACCGCCGGTGCTACCCGACCATCTTCGGCCCACATTTGTGCCACCGTGCGAGCATGACAGCGACTCGACCGACTCCAACCCACCGCGCCCACGGGAAGCGCCAAAGACGATCAAGCCGCGCAAGCCCGCCCAACGGTCGGTTGGCTATTACTCCGTGTCGTACGCGCTCGTGGAGCCCCGCGTCCGTTATGCCCCGCTCTTGGAGCAAGCAGCCAAGACGCGAGCAGCGGCCTCTCGCCGGCGCGCCTACCACCGACTCGTCGTGCAGACGTACGCAAGCCTTCGTCGTCCAAGCCATGCGCTCGAGACGACAGACCGAGCGTCGCAACGACTTAAGGGGCATGCGACGTTTTCCAAAGCACGGCAGCGTCCTGTGCACGTGCGTCGGCGCGAGTGGGGCCGTCGCAGGTCCATCGCCCGTGGACGACGGAGCGGAATGGTGTCCCGTTGGAGCGCACCACTGGGCGCGACGTTGTGGTTTGCCGGTGCAAGCACGGTGCGCAGCGCATTGCGTTTGCCAGCCGCCTGCAGCCCAAGGCCACACTGGGGCCAGGCGCCTACGATACCTCGGGGCCGAAAGGCCGGCGCTGCGCAATCAACTATGCCAAGGCGAAAGGTCGTGGCGATGCCAAGTTGGATCCCTTCGGACGCAAGCTGGATACGGGCGTCCCGGCAGGTGTGTCGGGCGCTGAGAGGCCGTCCTGGGACTGCCGCGTGCCGTCGACCGTGGACATGGCGCGGTCCAGCGGCCGTCCACCGACCTCGCTCCATGAGGACCCTACTTTGGCCCTCTCACCGCAGTACGGCTTTGGAAAGCCGGCGCCTCGTGGGCATGTGCCATTCGCAAAGCTAAGTCGCGGCAACAACCAGGACGAGCACCGAAGAGAGACCGAGGAGCTCGACCTTGATGTGCGCTACAGCAGCGTCGAGCCGCGTGTCAAGGTACTCCCGTTTCCAACGGCAGCAACGTCGCCCACCGCATGCGACGTGCCGACTCTCGAGCTCTCTCCAGCGTACGACGCCAAGTGGCCCAAACCATTATGCCTTGTCTCGATGGCAACCGACCGGGCCGAGCGCTGGCCCAAGCCGACGAAGCAGCACCCCGAGCAGTGCGACCTCCAAGCGACCCCATTGCACGTGCAGAGCAAGCACAAGAAAGCCGTGCATGCTGTGAACATGGACAAGCAGGTGTCGTGGCCCAGCATCGAGCCCGACGAGCCACTCAGTTATGATGACATTGACCCCTCGAAGCTCAGCACACATGCGCGAGCGACGACAGCCGTCGATATGGCCAAGGATGGGCGTCCGCGGATCGTGGCTCGTCACGCACAGGACGACCGACCGCTCGACCTATCGCCGCATGCTGCCGTGCACAGTCGCGTGAAGCGCGTCCCGACCGGCGTGAACATGGCCACGCAAAAGCCTCGTCCAGCGACCAAGCAACTGCGGCAAGCTGAGCTTGCTTCTCCGAGTATTAAGGACGGAGAACGAAGGCGAGCGCAGAGCGTGGCGATGGCAACACAGACCGGGCGACGCAGCCGCGGACCCGAGGCGGAGGAGGTGCTGCAGCTGTCGCCGCGCACGAATGGTCTCTCGGAGCACCGCCGCGTGAAGGGCACGCCGGCTATGCGCAAGCCCACCACGATGCGAGAAAGAGGTGGATGAAGAATTGACGAGAGTATACTAACGCAATGGAGTTTAGTCGGAATGTGTGGCTGCTTATACTTTTGTCTTCACAATGCTAGTGATAAAAAACCTGAGAGCGCCGATCCCGCGACGACGTAGTCGTCGGAGACTGCTTCATATAGGACGTCAGTATCAAGCACTGGGCCGATGCTCCAGCCCAGTGACCTCGGAAACGTCCACACATGCATCTTCTTCTAGCCATCCGACGGGTTGCGCCCGGATGCTGTCTACGTACAACTACGCTAGCATGCTCGTGGACCACGCTGTGTGGCACGAACCAATGCACGGTCTCGCTACATCTACTCGCTACCTGATGGGCGGCGCGACCGTTGACCAGAGCGTGAAGCGATTCGAAATGAGCGGAGCCTGAGCAACCTCGAAATACTGTCAAGTTCAATCAAATAGTGTACCAGTATACACTAAATGATTCAGAAACTCACATTAAATCAGTATCACATTATTTATGAGCCATAACATTATTTCGCTTAATAGTGCTTAACATTATATTTACCAATATATAAAAATAGTGTGATAAACGATCTCAAGGGGACATGGAGCGCTTCTTCTCGCACCGCCAAGATGGCGAAGATTGCAGCAATATTGAGGTCGACGTGGGCATGGGCAGCTCCGACATAAGTCTACTTCTGCTGCATGGTCCTCAGCGCTCTGGAAAGAGCTCGCTCGCGCTGCAGTATGCGTTTGAGCTCGTGAAGCGGGGTGGGACCGAGACCAGCGTCGTGCTCGTGTCCCATGCTAGCACGAAGGCCAACAATCGTCTGCGCCTTGTGCGCGTCGCGCCGTGCGAGAGCTGCCACACGCCAGCCGAGTCGGGCCAGGACAGCGTCGTCTGGAGCCGCATTCGCCTCAAGTACCTCGAGAGCGCCGCCCAGCTGCGCCACTTTGTCTGCTCGTTCCACATGCTCGAGGGCAAGAACACCGCCTTGATCATCGACGACCTCGACCTCTTTTGCACGGCGCCCACGTAATCTACGCGTCTATCGCCATCCATGCTTGATCGTCTGACGTGTAGCGAGGTCTACCGCAGCCTCGCCTTCATCAAGGAAACCATCGAGTTTATGCGCGCGAAATTCGATGCTGGCCAAGCCCTTGTACTCAGCAGCTCGGCGCTCCTACCGCGGGACCTCCGGCGAACGCTTCGGCGCTGGTTCGACCTGATCTTGCAGATAACGCCAGGTACGTCGCGCGGCGACGACGCGACCATGTACATGTGATCTAGGCAACAACGATGCGTTCGTGATCCAGGAAGAGATGTGGCCGAGCATCACTGGCGACGACTGGGCCGAGCTCGTGCCACTGTTCCCGCCCTCGTACTGCGTCGAGTACACGTTTGTGCCCAACAGCGACGATGCCCAGGGCTACCTTCAGTTTACGCGGGCCAGCCTCCGACAGTAGACAAACACATGCTGTCGTCGTAGAATATCTGTCGTGTGCTTAAGGCAAGGGAATGTGGCTATGGCGAGTGTCGGCGCCACTGGTTGCGCATGGTCCAGCCGATCGCTGCACCGATCGCGACGCCCGAGAGCACTTGTGCCCACACCGGCAGGTCCCACTCGAGCGGCGACGTCAAGCCGGACGACGACGACAGTACATGCTGCTGCTTGGTCTTCTTCATCGTCGTCGTCGTGGGACAGCGACGGGTCAAAGTTCTCGATGCAAAGGTCTTCGAGGTTGGTCGTCGACACGACCTTGTTGAATTCTCTCGAGACGTGGCGCACATACGTCGGCGAAATGAGGTTGCTGCCCAGTCGAAAGTTGGCTTGGAAGCCCAGGTTCGGGTCGGCGTGCAGCGCATCAAGCTCCGGACTGCTCGCCCGTCGCTTCTACACGAGCATATATTCGTGTTAGAGAAAAGCCCGGCGCATGACAGAGGCGTACCACGAGGTTGCGGATCGCCGCCATCGACTCAATGAGCCCAAGCACCTCCGTGACGCTGTCCTACACGTAAAACAACTCGTGGTGAGCCGACAAGACACCCTGGCAGCGATAACATACGAGGTAAAAGTTGGCCAAACTCGGCTTCTTTCCGACAGTCACCGTGTAGCACGCGGGAGCGTCTTTCGTGCTGGCTTCGGCAAACGACCGCACCGCTACGTCGACAGTGAGGACCATTGCCAATGACGTGTCGTCTCGTCGTACTGCGGTAGGCTTGTTCGTCCGACTCGTCGTCGCCCACGACGAGTACAAAGTCGGGCATCGACACTTGCTCCTTGCAATAGTTGAGCAGCATCGAAGCTGCGACCGCCTTGTTGACGCCAAACCGATGGACTTCCACAAAGCCTTTGCCACGCACGACGGCCGTCTTCTCCTTCTACGTCCACTCGCGTCTCCAGATACACGCATGTCGCACGAAGCGTACCTTGAGGAGTTCGGTGAGCTGGTCAAAGAGCTCGGATGCCTGCATCTCGCCGTACTCAGGGTCGCAGTTGCGGTAGTCGTACATCACCGACGCGTCCCCAATAGCCACAAACGACCCGTTCGTACGCGAGACGTATGTCTTGATGATCGCCGCCACCCGATCTTTCCACAAGAGGTCGTCGGGCACGTCGGCGTAGAGCGACTCCCACTCGATCGCACCGGCCTTGCGGAGAAAGTACCCGTTGTCCGCAACCAGAGTCACGTCCGTCATGGATCCAAACTCGTGCTCGAGCTCCGCGCGGCACGCGTTGCTCCACACCACGACCACGTTGCGCGGGTCCATCGCAAGGCTCTCGAGACTCAATCGCCCTTCGTACGTCAACGGCGTGCGCACTTGGCCGTCCGTTTTGCGCAGCGCTGGGACGCATGGGCCACTCGCGTGGTTGCGGTTGAACTGGTACATCGAGGCTTCGTCGTCCATGAGGCATGACGTCCAGCTGAGCGTGCCGCCATAGTCGAGGAGGAGGAGGCGCTTCGTGGCCTTGATATACGACCGCAGCACCTCGTCCGCGTTCAGTGCGACAAAGCCCGGCGTAAACTGCATCACGCGGTAGTCAAAGCCAAAGCCAATCTCCATAAACTCGCCCGTCGAGCCGTGTGCGGTCGACGGCTCGCCCGCGCTCTCAATGTCGGCCAGCATCCGCGTGCCCCACTCCGAGACCGGGTTGTCCTACGAGAACAAGCCGACAAATGAGGCAATCCAAGCCCACGTGTCGTCGTACCAGCAAAAAGTTGTAGTTGAGGAGGAAGCGCGACCGTGTCTCTTGAAACTGCATCTCCATGGCCTTGACGATCGCACTCACCACGTCATCTGTCTTCCACGGGTTGACGAGCAGCGCACCGTTGAGGATGCGCGCGTACGACGCAAACTCGGACGCGACGAGGACGCCGAGGTTGGCCGACTCGGACTCGTCGCTCGCTTCAAATGCGTGGTGGTGCGCGGATAGAAACTCAAATGGCAGCATCGAGAGGCCACCGCGAACGCACGTGTCGAGGAAGACGTGGCCCATCTTCCACACCACCATGCGCTGGAGCGAGTGCATCTTGGCAAACTCGTGGTACACGACCACCGGTCGGTCCGGCGTGCCCCACCGGCGGTTGATTTCTTCGACAAACGACTCGACGTACCGCTTGGTCTGGTTGTAGTCGTTGGGGCGCGAGTCGATTGAAATGCCAGCTTGGAGCAAGACGATCTCCGATCGGCGCGACGGGTACATGGCAAGGAACCGATCGAGCGCACGCAGCTTGAGTGGGATGCCGCAGAGGCCCTCGAGGCGGTCCACGGCCGTGAGTACAAAGCGGCCGGCGGCGTGCGGCGCGAGCTTGGCCTGGAAGCTCGTGGCCATCGCGTCGACTTCGAGGCGCGCCATGAGCTCGCCCATGCGATGGAGCTCTGTGCCGCAGTGGCTGCACGTGATGAGGACGAGGCGGCCATTGTACTCGACGGTGAGCATGCCGTTGTGCGACGTCTTGTAGTTGAGCCCGAGGAGGCGCTTGCAGGCCGTGAGGAAGTGGCGCGCGTGTTCAAAGACGAGGAAGCCAATGTGGTTGGCGCACAGCATCGCGCGGAGGATCTCGGTGCGCACGGCGAGCGTCCGAAAGATCTCGCTCGACGGGAACGGCACATGCATGAAGATTGCGATCGAGCCGCCATGGAGCTTCCGGAGCAGGTACGACGCGAGCACGAGCAGCGGAAAATCGTGGATCCAGATGATGCTGCCCGCCTCCCAGTTCTCAATCACCTTTTTCGCAAAGTGGCGGTTCACTTGGCAGTACTCGTTCCAGCATTTGTCTTGCGACGCCGGATTCCACGACGCCGGCGCTTGCCACATGCTCGCGCTGCTCGCGGGCGGCGACGTCGGCGGCTTCATGTACGTTTCACCCTCATCATTGCTCGGGCAGTCGTCAAGCTTGAGCTCGGCCGAGTTGTAGACGTCAATCACGTTGTGGAAGATGGGCCATAGCACGCCCTTGCAAAAGCCTTGGTAATGGCGGTGCGCCGTGTCCGGGTCCAAGAAGACCGGGATGCAGTGGAACTGCTGGCGAAGCACTTGGCGAACCGCGGCCTCGTCCTTGCGCGGGATGTACACCTCGGGGCAGCCCACGAAGAGCGGCTCGTAGCGCTGCGCCGAGACGATGTTGCGCAGGAAGAGCCCGTACGAGCTCGTGCTCCACTCGATGCGCCAGGGGCAGCCCATCGGCCGGGCCTCGTCCAGCGTGAAGATGAGCGGAAGCACGTTGATGCAGACGATGACGGTCGTCGGCCGACTCCGCGGGCTCGGCTCGGCGCTCATGCTAAACTCCAACTGCCGGTCCAGCGTGGGTGCTGACGGTATTTTATTGCGCTCGCATACAAACATCAAGTGTATTGTTATACAGCAACGTTGGGTGCCAGCGTCCGGATAAAGATACCGATCAACCGGACTAGAAGATCGTGTTGATGCAGCAAGTCACACTGGCAGCAAGTCGTCGAGGCGACAGACTTGTTAGTTAGTTAGTTCCATACGACAACTGAAGTGCGGTAGACATTTTTTAGGGTCTTATTGGTCTATCGGTGGTACGGGCCGTAGCGACCAGATTGCGGCCGGTCGCTCAGGGCTCGCCGGTCGTTGCTGCGCCCGTGTCGCGCGTCCCTTCGATCCGAGCGCTCGGGGCTGCGACGAGGGGGGTCGTCGTGGCGACGAGGGGCTCCGTAATGGGACCCACCACGGTCGAGGTGCGCCGCTGCGTGGTGCGGCCGGTGCGACCGGTCGTGGGATCGATCCCGATGCGCGGACCGATCTCGTGGCACCCGCTCATGTGACCGATTGCGAGGCAGCCGATCCGGTTCCCGGTCCCGGCTGCGTCGATGGCCCGTGCTGTGACTGTTTGCGCTCGTGCGGCGCTCATGCCCGCGAGGTGACGCCGTTCTCGCCGAAGCGCCACGCTCGTACTTGTCATGGCTGCGCTCCTTCGGGCTTGAACGCAACCCTTGCACAAGCTCACCGGCTTCCATTGAGGACGACGACTCGACGTGAGCTTTCGTTTCGGCTGGCGGCTTCACCGAGGTTGCGTGCTCCTTCATGGGCTTCGTGGAGCCCGTCGCATCGGGCGCCGAGGCTGCAGAAGGCAGCAACTGGACGTCCGTACTGGTCGCCTTTGCGGCTTCAGTGACTGGCTTTTCGACGGTGGTCGGTATCTTGTCGGCGGTGGTAAGCACCTTGTTGGCGACGGCAGCCTTCTCCGACTCGATGACCGCCGGATCGGTCTTGGTGGTGACCTTGTCAGTTGTGCTGGGCGTCTTCTCGTTGATGACGGCGGTCCTCTCCGCCTTGATGGCTTCGGGCTTGACGGCCGGCTTCTCGGTCACGTTGATCGGCTTCTCAGTCTCGGTCGCCAGCGACGTGATCTCCGTTGCCGGCGTTTTGGTTTCAGTCGGAGCCACCTTGACTACCTCGCTCGTCGTAGTTGTCGTCCGGCGCTCGGTCGAACGACGTTGGTGGTCCGCTGCCTTCTCGTGGGTTTTCGACGGGGTAGCAACCATTTCTGGCTTGGGTACCTCCCGCTCGCTGGACGACGTGATGTCGCGCGAGACAGCGGCGTTGCGGTCACTTGTACTGGATGAGCCACTCAACCACGACGACTCGGTGTGCGTCCGCGGCTCGGTCGGAGGAAGCGGCGGCGGCAGCGGAGGGAAAATAGCTGGTGTGTCGCCACTGGGGCGGCGCCTTTCGTCACGGCGGATGTAGTCCACCGGCTCTGCGCGCATGCGATCACTCCCCGACCGAAGCGGCGCGCCTTGCTGCAGCCGGCGCTGTCTCTCGATTGAGCGGCTACGGTCACGCCCCGTCGAGGGCCGTCGTGACTCGGCGTCTCGTCGCCGAGGAGATCGAGGCGGCGCGTCAGGGCGGAAGCTGCCGTTGACCGCCGCCGGAACGAGCGCGTCCGGATGGCGCCGAGGCTCGGGCAGCAACCGATCCGACTCACGACGCAGCAGCTTCTTCTCGACCGGCGGCGGCTTGATCGCATACATGTTGTCTTGGAGTTCGCACTTGGCGCCCGCGTCGTCGTGAAACCGGCGCAGTGCTTCGTTCGCGTCGTCCTGCGAGTAGTAGTGCACGTACATGGCCGTGGGCTTCATCTGCTGCAGGTCGCGCTTCCCGGACGCCGTGAGCTCGATCGAGGGCTTTCGGCCGTCAATCGTGAATCGGTCGGCGCACTTTTTGGCAAAGTCCGAGCACTTGTCCTTCATGTTGAAGCCAAAGCCAGCGCTCTTCTGCTCCATGCGCATGTGGCGAAAGAGCACTGTGACGCGCCGACGCTCCGAGAGTGGCAGAAACGTCGTCTTGTACAGCTTGGTCTGGAGAAACACACGGTTCTCTGTCTGGAGCTCGACAAGAGACCCGTGCGGATCATTTATCTGCCGCTGCATCTGCGCAGCTGCGTGCGCCGAGAGCGCGCGCGGGGGCATCGGGCACGTAAGGTCAATGCCGTAGAACGACGGCGGCTGCTCGAGAAACTCCTTCATGGGCACACTACGACCAAGCGACTTTTTCTCTGCAAAGATCTCGCCATTCTCGTCCTTGACCGCGTACGGTTGGCGCGGAATCGTGGGCAGAATTGTGCGCAGGATCGAGTTGTGCTAACACAAAGATCACATGAGCCACGGCGATTGGGTCAGCAGTGTATGTACTTGACGGCACGCCTTGAGAAACTTGCGGTCATTTTCGCTGTACGTTAGGAACGTGACGGGCGGCTTGGTGGGAGTCGGCGGCCGGGCTTTCGGTGCAGACGTGAGCGATACACTTGCCGATGGCTTGGCCGACGGCGTCGCCGGCGTCGTCGGGGTCGTTCGCAGCGATGGCTTCTTTGGGATGCGAAAATCCAGCACCGGAGGCGCGTCACCGACCTCGCCTGGCTCCTTCTCGACGTCGCTGGGACCTTTTACCGGCGGCAGCGGTGGCAGTACCGTCATCTTTGGAATGACAAAGTTGTCTGCGTCCAGCGAGAGCGGCGGCGGCTTCCCGCGCCCTTCCGACGTCGGCGTCGTCTTTGGCCGAGCCGTCGGCGTGCCACCCGGTGTCGTCCGTGGTCGCAGACTTGGCGTCCCGCCAGGTGTCGGTCGTGCCCGCATTCTCGGTGTGTCCCCTGGCGTCGGGCGCGGCGGGTACGTGGGTGTGTCCCGGGGCGTCATTTTCGCCTTCGGAAGAGCTGCATGGTCGTCAACAAGCGAGAGCGGTGATGGCTTGGGCCGGTCGTCCATCTTGGCACGAAAGCTGGGGGTTGCAATCCCCTTTGTACTCTGCGGGCTTGGCGCGGGAGCGTCATCTTCGATGACCTCGCCCGACTCGTCAAGAAAGTCGGTCGTGTCGATTGCCGCACTCGACGCATCCTCATCAGTGGGGCACGGCGACTCGTCGTTCTGGGTACGTCGAGCAGCCGGTGGTGACGAGGCCGGAATCGTGGACGGGGTGCTCGTCGCAAGCTTGGCAGGAGCTTGGTCCGACTTGGGCGTCGGTGAGGCCGCAGGGACTGGAGACGATGCGACAATAGGACTCGCTTTCGGCTCGTACACGGAGCGGACGACCGTCGTAGGCGGAGGAGACAAGCTCGTTGGTACACTCCGAGACGGTCGAGGCGCTTTCGTTCGCAGCATCGTCATGGGCATCCCGTCGTTAAGAGGCGTGAGGCCGGTCCCCGGAATTTCGCTTCGTGCGGAGAGGAGTTGTTCTCGAGGGCGCTTCTTCGCAGAATCGTCGCCGTCGGAGCGCTTCCGTTTGACGCGATCCTTTGAGAGTTCATCGCGCGAGCTCTTGCGCGACTCACCCGACGCCGACTTGGCTTGCTTCCTTTGCTTCTTCTCGTCCGACGCACGCTTCTTCCTGCGCTCGTTGTGGTCGCTGTCCTCGTCACTTTTGGCGGCCTTGGCGCGCGACGACGACACCCGGGCGTCCTTCTTCGGCTTCTTGTGCTTGACCTCGTCTCGTCGGCGCGACGCCGTCTTCTTGCGCTCGCTGGTCTCGCTCTCTTCGCTGGAGCAGCTCGAGGTCCGGGTCTTCCGCTGCGGCTTCGTCTCGTGCGGGACCTCGCGGACCGCCGGCGGTGGCGATGGCGATGCTCGTGCAGCCCGCGGCTTGAACGCTTCGTCGTCGGAGCTTTCATCGTCGTCATTGGCCAGCATCATCTTGAGCTTGGAGGCGTCCTGGGCGTTCATGCTGCCGGCCATGGTCGGTCTTCCGTCGGCCGCTCGTCCCAACCAACCCGCGAGAGGATTGATGTTATAGCTCGCTGTGCGTGATTTTAATACATTGACAACGCCCCGTAGATTTAAATCGGTGTGATGTACTTGTCATTTGTATACCTAAAATGATTTTGCTATTTTAATTGGCGCTCCGAGCACGAAACTGCGACTGGCCGGGGCACGAACGCCCAGCCATCTCCACATCGCAGCGCCTGGCGCCTGGACGCACCTCGGGCGTGTCTGCGAGGTATACCCAAGTCGTCGGACGAGATGAGAAGTCGCGTTGAAGTACCCACACCATTCGAGAGCCCACTGCAGCGCTGCGTTAAGCGACCAACACTAACGGTCCAACCCGACAGTTGCGTGAAAATAGAGTACCCGCCACCACACGCCACATGGCATTGTGCCCCGGGGTACGCGAATAGGCGCGACCCACAGATAGCTCAGTGTACTTGACTTCCGAGCCAACTCGAACCAAGTCGATGCGAATGCTAGTCGGCCATCCTGATGCGCTTGTATGCCACATACAATGTAGCAGGCTGCGTTGGTTTCACGAGGGCTGAAAGGCTACGCTATAATTACACGCTGATGCGTGTCACTTTTCCGTGATGCTTTATTTAGTTGGGCTTTCTCGATCAAGCCACAAGACTTTCGGCCACGACATGGGGTGCTGCGGAGGCAAAGAAGACGTGCTTCCCGATGGCTCTGGCGGCGTCGCGCCCAACTCGACGCGCAAGTGTCGGGACGTGCTCTGCTGCCTCCTCTTCCTCCTCTTTTGGATCGGAATGGCCGTCCTCGCGATCCTCGGTGTCTCCAACGGCGAGCCGGAGAGCCTCATTTACGGCACGGACTTTAACGGCACGGTCTGCGGCACGGGGGATTCGAATACGAGCCTCATCTACTACCCGCGCATGACGCAAGACATGCTGACGCAGTCGGCCAAAGGCGTCCCGCCGCTCAGCATGAAGTTCTTTGGCCTCTGCGTCTCGGCGTGCCCGCGAATGGGCGACTACATTTGCACGTATGCGACCGAGGCTTCGATTCGCGCGGCCCACCCGGGCGCGAATGCAACAACGCTCAACGCAGCGCGCAAGAAGCGTGCGAGCAGCTTCTCGACAACGAATACCGACTGCTGGCTCGTGCCACTGCCGTCCGAGGTCGTCGCGTTCCGTTGCCTTCCGCTCAACATCGTTTCGGGCAACTCGACTGTGATTTGCATCCAGCCGGGCAACTCGTCCGAGTACTACAAGACTGTCAACGGTGTTCAAGTGCCCAACGAAAAGTGCGAAGTGTCGCAGACGGTCACGGTCACGGCGACGATCGGCGAGGCCAACTCGGATCCGGTCATGGACAAGCTCCAAACGACCGTGGCCATGATCGGTCGGTTCGTCGGCGACATTCAAAAGTCGTATGCGCCGGTGCTCTTGATCTGCGGCGGCGGCAGCCTCGTCCTCGGCTGGCTCTTCCTCTTCTTCATGCGCTTCTGCGCAGGCTGCGTCATTTGGCTCACGCTCTTTGTCGTTCAAATCGTGCTCGCGGGCCTCTCGCTCTTCTTCCTCGTCAAAGGCGGTATCGTCTACTCGAGCGACATTAGCGCGCTCACCACGCAAATCAACGCGATTCCCAGCGGTGAAAGCCTCTCCGCGTCACTCAGTGTCGCCGAGTCCAACATCAAAGTGTACCAGGCCGCGGCGGTCATTTCCATCATTTTGACAGTCATCATGCTCCTCATTGTGTGCTTCATGCGCAAGCGCATCCAGATTGCGATCGGGATCATCCGCGAAGCCTCCCGGACGATCCAGTGCATGCCGCTCCTCGTCTGCTTTCCAATCGTACCTGCGATCGCCTCGATTCTGCTCTTCATCTACACGACGATCATTGGCGCCTACATTTACAGCGCCGACGGCAACCTTGCGCTGCCGTCGTCGCTCGTGAGCGCACTGCCTGCCAACGTACTGTGTCCATCCCTTTTGTAAGTGCGTAATCTCTTTTTGTAGGCGTCGGCGTCCGTGACCGCAACCTGGGACGCTGAGCTGAGCGCGTCGGCGTCGGCCGTGGAGCCGAGCCAGCGCATGCACATAATGATTGCATACCACCTTTTGGCTTTCTCTGGACGAACCAGGTGATCCAGGCCGTCTCGATGACGACGATTGCCGGCGCCGTGTGCAAATACTACTGGAGCCGCAACCACTCGGCGGCCGAGATGGGCCGGTTCCCCGTCGCGACGAGCTTCCGAAACTGCTTTCGGTATCACTTTGGGTCGCTCACGTTTGGCGCGTTCCTGATCGCTGTCGTTCAGTTCCTCCGCCTTGTGCTCATGTACATTGACAAGCAGACCAAGTCCTTGCAGCAGTCCAACCTCGCGGTCAAGGTCGCCATGAAAATCGTTGGCTGCTGCCTCTGGTGCCTCGAAAAGTGCATCAAGTTCATCTCCAAGAACGCCTATATCCTCGTGGCCATGAAGGGCCGGTCGTTCTGCTCGTCGACGAAAGAAGCGTTCATGCTCATCTTTGCCAACATGGCCCAAGTCGCCATGACGAGCACGATCGTCAACCTCGTCGCGTTCGTGGCTGTGGTTGCGATCAGCGTTGGGTGCGGCCTCGGGCTCTTTCTCTACTTGGACCACGACGCCGCCTTTGCGACGGGCGGCAGCAACGAGCTCAACTCGCTCTTCCCGCCGTGCATCATTGGCGGCATCCTCGCGTGGTTTGTCGGCTCGTCCTTTATTGGCGTCTACGAGATGTGCGTCGATACGATCTTGCTCTGCTTTTGCGAGGACCGGCGCATCAACAAGGACGGCGGCCAGTACTACATGAGCGCCGAGCTCCAAGCCTTTGTCGAGAAGAACACCAAGAAAAAGGTGAAGAAACACACAGCGGACGAAGCAGGCAACAAGACCGCCCCGGACGAGCTCCCCGTCAACCCCGACGGTTCGATTGACGTCTAAGTCGACGCACTTGAGAGAATCTGTACATGGACGATGAATACTATATGGTGAATGTGTGGTTGCCTTCTCTTCTTAGTGTTGCATGGACAGGAGGGTCCGCGACCACGGCAGGCGATATAAGATCTTGTCGCTGTCGACACCCCACCACGACGCTGACGCCGCGTCCCATACGGCCATATTCCACGCCTCGGACGAGATCACGTCGCACATTCCAGTGCAGTCCTATAGCAAGAATCACGCAGGATTGCAAGAGGTTGAATACCTGCACCACGGTGCCACGAGCACTCGAGATGAGGAAGCTGTCTTCGCTTGTCGCGAGGAGATGCGTGTCTGGAGCGACCTCGGACTGGCGAACGCAGTGCAACGACCATGTCGCCATGTCGACGGCAAACTCCATCACGTGGTGCTGCGTCATGAGAAAGATCGTCCCGTAAGCCTCCAAAGTACCAAGCCCCATGACCTACACAGCATGGACGAGACATTTTGTGTCGCCAACGCTTCTCTGGATACGAACTTGGCGGGGAAGCGTTGGGTCGGAGAGCACACTGAGCGACGTGAGAGACAAAACGTCGTAGATCGTCACGACGTCACGGTGCGCCGTCACGATTAACTACGTCAACTTGAAAGCCGCCCAGAAACGAAGAGCAAGTATTACGTTGTCGGTGACGCACACGTGTTCGATGGGCTCCGTCACGAGCGTGGTCTGGACGATCGCGTCGTCCGTAGCGTCATAGAGTTCGAGGGCTGCGCCACCGTCTACCGAGGACGACGCCAGTAGCACCATTGTCACGCGGGGGCCGGCGCCGCCTTTCCTTCGCGTTCGAACGACGGCGTCGAGGCGAGGGCACGCGGGCGTCGTCTTCATGGTGCGCGCAGTCCCCGACACAGAAACGAGCCACAACGCAGCGCTCTCGAGGCCGATCAACACATGCTACGCGCCATCATGCCAACCGTGCTGACGAGCCGCCAACGTACGGTCGAATCGGACAGAAATGTCAAGTGGGCGATCCGTGACGCATACGGTGTCAGCGCGGGCACGTCGACAACGGCCAATGGGTTTGTCGCGCAAAAGATAAGCTCGTGCTCGGCACCGGCAATCGCAAGGTACTTGTGATTGGGCGAAAGCGCGAGCGTGCGTGGCGTGTCATGCATCGACAGCGCCAACGACGTCGACTCGACGGTGGTGTCGCTTAGCACGCTGGACGACGGCGGTGGCGACTCGATCAAATGCTCGGAAAACTGTTTCTGCGTCTCGATCTGCAAAAGCTGGCGAAGCTCGAGGCTCGACGCCTCGGCGCGCTTGATCTTGTCGTACGCCAGCTTCATATCGAGGCTACATTATGGCAGCAGTGTAGAAGTGATGCGGGAAGGTCGAGAGCGCACCGCAGCTGGTGGCACTCGGCACGCGACGACTCCAGCTGGAGACGCAGCGTGGGCTCCTCAGTCTGTGCGATCTGAAACGCGAGGAGCTTGGGCAGCGGGATTCCCTGAAAGACAGTCGAGAGAAAGTTGCGCAGCGTCAGCGCCAGGTTGTCGAGCCACTCGCTCGAGAAGAAATCCTAGCCCCATGTTCGTACGCACAGAGGAGCTTGCAAGACGTACGCGGAAGTAAGGGTCGGTCTCGGGCTGGCTCATGTACGGCAGCATGAACCACGGTTGCCACCCCGCACTCTCGGCGTTCGAATGCCGGTGCGTCGATGCATACTGCTTGAAAAACGCAATCGCTTTCTCTGGTTGACACGACTGCACAACGTGGACAATGTAGCTACGCTCGAGCGCCGTGCGAAGGCGCGCTATCGCCTACGACGAGCATGAGCGACGCGTCGTTTGGACGGACGCGACCGAGCTAAAAGCGCTGTCGAGGTGGCAGAAGAAGCGCGCATCGAGAAAGTTCCAGAGGTCCATGAGCCGCTCGAGGTCAGTGTTCTTGATGTGCAGGAAGATTTGATGCACGAGCTTGTCGACGTCGAGGCCTTCGCACCGGTCCTTCTTGCGCTCATGCGCAAACGTCTGGAACGTCTACAGGCGCAGTTGCAAGGGCCGCCGATGAAGATGATGTCTACCTTCGTGAAGCCTCGGAAGAGAAGGTACTCGAGCACGAGCTCGTCCACGTTGGCGAGGAGGAATGGGACTTCCGGCCGAGCCATGCTGCTGGGTGCTCGAGGATCCGCCGCTGGCAATTGGTAACGCTTTGTCTTGATTGGCCAAATATTCAGCCCCTCCGTGGACGTCTGATTGGTTGATTTATTATCCGGATACGACAGTTTGGCGCGGTTTTGGTCGGACCTTATTGCAGACCTAGAACTTTTGCTAGTAGGTAGAAGACAACCTGTACGACAAACTGTGGATGGCACTTCCAGCGTGCCGGTATTGTACGTGTAATGCATCCCAGCGACCGGTTTACAGTAAACGATTGCTACTGAGGCGCATGTCCTATCGACTCTTCGTCAATACATGCCTGGAGCTACGTACGCTGGTCCGGCGGTTCTGCAGGTAGCGTTACGACACTGGCACTGACTGGTGGCACCACGTGTGCAGTACACTGGCACCCTATGTCGCGCAACTCTGCGTCCTGCTCCATAGAAGGCGGATGGACACAAGGCGGCATTTGTTCCTTGGCCGTCGACGTGAGACCAGCAACTTCGTGCGCTCTCAGGTGCATATATAGCAAGGTATAATGTGGTCTCATGGCGATGCTCGCACTGCTTTCTTGTGCAGAAACTCGAGCTGCGGATCTAGCCTGAAGGATCTTCGTGCCAGATCTTGTTGTGCGTGTGAAGTACGGCGCGTTCGGTTAAGTACGTATCGAGAGCACATCGGCCATCGCGGCATCGAATCGAAACCATGCTCGGCGCTGTCACTCGTCTCGCGGTCGCCCGCGCGTCCTCTTCCGCGGTCCGCCGCCATGTACTTCGCCGCCCCGCCATGGCGCGCATGTTTGCCTCGGAGGGCAACGACAGCGTGCCATCCAACACGTCGCGCTTCTTGAAGCTGGTCGACCAGATTGAGGAAGACGACGCGGTCGAGCTCGACGACGGTGACGAGGTGGTGACCGAAGTCGACCCGCAGGACGAATTCTTTGTCGACTTGAATCCAGGCGGCGTGGGCCTGAGCGAGCGCGACGACAAGCGCATCTTCGACCTCTATATGGAGAACCCGCTGATCAACACGATCAAGAAGCTCTCGACTGACAACCGCGTGTCGGTCGAGCGCATCGAAGCCACGATTGTCTTCCAGGGTCTCGAGCGTGGCCTTACGATCGAAGAGCTCCGCGAGAAGGTGTTTGCCTTGAAGGAAGCCAAGGCGAAGGACCAAGCGATGCCAGTGACAGAGGCGGCGGGCTCGAAGGCCAAGGTCCACGGCCGCAACAAGTCGATTGAAGAACTCGCATTGGAAGACTGTGACCATGGCAAGAGCGACGAAGACATGACGGAAGCCGACTTTATGACGAACGAAGAGTGGGAAGAGTACAACAAGGAAGACAAGATTCGTGAGCCCGACTTCATCTACCTCAGCGACGAACATGACGAGCTGCCACCGCTGCACCGCCAATATGGCAAGCGCAATTTGTCGGACCAGCTCTCGGTCGCCGAGGCCAAGGCGCTGCAGATTGGCGCCATGAAGAACAGGGTGACTCTGCTTCCGAGCTTTGCCAAGTCGCTCAACCCGACGGGCAAGTGGAAGATCGCGATCAAGGATATCTCAACGAAGCGGTCACCGCTGTACATGCGCGACACGGACGGGACGCTGCGCCTTGCGACCGATGACGAAGTCGTCAAGCGCTCGTGGGTGAAGCGCCCGTCGTACTTCCAGGGCATTGAAAAGTTCGTCTACTAAGATGTTACCTCCTGTATACCTATAAAAGCTTGGTTGGCACGTATTCCTCTAACCGTTTCCAAAGCCTTCTAGTCTCCATCCACAGCAAAGCGTGCTGCAGACTCGATCGGTGTGGCACGGTGGAGGAAGCGGTGACTGAGACGACGATGATGACACGCTGGAAGACGCCGTCGAGTCTGCGTGTTGGGCGACGGCCCAGGACCCGTTCTCTGCTTGGACCGGCTTATCGAATCGCGGGAGCTGCTTGGGGCCAAGTATGTATCCAAAACGATCCATTCGCCACAAGAATCAACTTGTGCGATATACGCCCGTACTACTTGTGGACGCGGTCAAATGCCCAGGTTGACGTCCCTAGGGTTCCGCCAAGCGACGAACCTCGGAGCTACCACAAGCTCCTCGAAAGCTTCCTCAGACTATGTAGCGAGCAGCTCATGTACCCCGACCAAGGTCAGCAGAACAGACCCTGATTGGGCGTACCTGGGTGCATCCCATGGGGCAGATGGAACTCTCCGAGGAAAGCGTCCGAGGAATTGGACATGACCGCACCCCCGCATCAGGGGCTAGCACTTGCTGCCTCCTCCTAGCCCATGCCGGTAGGCTGAGGCAATCACCGCGATGCGTACTCGATGCAGAAAGCATCCGGCTACATCATGGTCGACGCTACGCCGCTGGCGGATGATGATGTTGTTCGTTGAAGGTCGGGGACAGCACGAAGTTTCCTGTGGCCCTCGCCCCTTCTCCTGTGACATGCCATGACGTGTCGGCCGCTCGTCGCCGCGCCATGATGCGTGCTGGCGGTCGCTTCGGCGGCCATGGCCATGGCGCTGCCAGGCCCAGATCTTCGACGAACGGCTCTCTTCTTCAAGTTGAGGATGGCCCACCCAAGGCGGTGTCGGAGTACTACGTATGCAATAAAATAGTGCCACTATACTTGAAAAAAGTAAGGCGATTTGTACCGTGGTATTTTATTCCCACGATCTTGACCGTGTCAGTTGCACTTTTGCCACGTTCCAGCCATGTTCCTCGCCAAGCTCCGCAAGCCGATCGCATCGTCTGTGCTTCGCCGCGCCTCGACGGCCGCCGCCGCCTCACCGCTGGTCGACGCCGATGACGTGGCGGCCCACGCCGAGGCCATCGAGACAGACTGCATCATCAAGACGTACAACCCGGACGGTGTACGCACGCAGAAGGGCCTCGTCTTCACGCACGGAAAGGGCCCGTACCTCTTTGACTCGCACGGCAAGAAGTACCTCGACTTTTGCTCTGGTATCGCGGTCAACAACCTCGGCCACGCCGACCCCGAGTGGGCGGCCGCGATCGCCGACCAAGCCACGGTACTACGTCATCGCTGCGTCATGGTTCGCTCATGCATCAAGTATAGAAGGTGTGCCATGTGAGCAACCTCTTCCATTCGGAGCCCCCGCTCAAGCTCGCAAAGAAGCTCGTGGAACACTCAACGTTCGACAAGGTCTTCTTCTGCAACTCGGGTAGGCTGCTCGGAGACACCTCGCGACGTTTCTTCTCATCGCGCTGGTAGGCACGGAAGCCAACGAAGCTGCGTACAAGTTTGCGCGTCTGCACGGCAACAAGGTTGCCAAGGGCACGTACGTACTTCATCAACATCAACACATGTATGCAATCGATCCTAGGCCGCTCGAAGGGAAGAAGACGCATGTCATTGCCTTCAAGGGCGGCTTTCATGGCCGCTCGTCTGGGTCGCTCTCACTCACGTACAAGCCTGCAATCCGTGAGCCGTTCTTGCCCCTCGTGCCCAACATTACATTTGCCGAGTACAACAACCTCGACGACGTGAAAGCGCAGATCTCGGACCACACGTGCGCGATCATCGTCGAGCCCATTCAGGTTCAAACGCTCTGCGAAGCGCAACTCGTCAAACGCGAGTCGTTAGGGCGAAGGCGGCGTCATGCCGGCGAAGGCCGACTTTCTCAAGGGCCTCCGCGAGCTCTGCGACGCCCATAGCGCGCTTCTCATCTGCGACGAGGTGCAAACGGGCCTCGGCCGCACGGGCAACCTCTTTGGCCACGAGGTGTACGGCATCCAGCCCGACCTGATCACGCTCGCCAAGCCGCTCGCTGGTGGGCTTCCGATTGGCGCCGTCTTGACGACGGACCACGTCGCGGACGCGGTGACGCCTGGCAGCCACGGCACGACGTTTGGAGGCAACCCCATCGTGTGCGCGGCCGCCAACGTCGTCATGGACCGTCTTACGTCCCCCAACTTTCTCTTTGTACGCGCCTTTTCCTGCGACATTTCAAGTAACATGGCGGCGCTGTAGAACGTCCAGAAGATGGGTCGGCTCATGGCGCATGGCTTGAAGGAACTCCACGCCAAGCACCCGACCAAGATCAAGGAGGTCCGGCTGCCCATCGGTACGATCTTGGAAGATGTATGACCTCGGCGTCTCATGCATATGTGATGTAGGCGAGGCTGGTTTGTACGCAGGTGTCGAGTGCCACGGCGCCGTGGGCCCGATCGTCAAGGACCTCGTGACGAAAGGCGTGATCACAATCACGGCCGGCGAGAAGTACGTGATGGACGAGAGGCAGCGGACTTAACATGGTGTGGCGTAGGGTGCTCCGCTTGTGCCCGCCCCTTGTGATCACCGAGACGGACGTCGCGACGTTTATGAAGGCGCTCGACGAGAGCTTGGCTGCCCACACCATGTGAAGCAACAATTAACACAAATGGATGTTTCGACGCCAACAACGAATGGAGGAGCCAAGTGAACTTGAACCCTCGGCCACCGAGATAGATCCTTCTGCCGCAGGGTTGCATTGCGACACGGCGCTTCGTGGCCGTCACCTTCAAAATCGTCGTCGTCGAAACAAGTCTCGGCTCGTGAGAAGAGTTCGAGCCAAGACGAGTAGGATAGAACACAGAATTATACTAGTAGTTGCGCTCGCGTTCTCCACACTCAATCGGAGGGCCTGCACCGCGATCTCCACACGCTCGCAAAGCTCAGCCACCGTCGCCAGACCACAATCGCCAGGACGACCGCAGAGGATGCCACGTCACAAAGGATCGAAGGGCCGTAGGCAAACCGATCTTGCAGCGGCGACCGATGTCTTGACCACGTCGACGTTCGCGGCGGCCAGCAAGGATGACCTCGTCGCCTCGTTCTAAACAAAGCTAGATCTTACGTCCAGCAACCTCGCACGCGTCGAGCACTCGCTCGGTCGGACCAAACGCGTCCTTGCAGCGTCCAAGGCGTTGCAAAAACCAGATACAAGCCACGCAAGAGCTCACTGAAGTACTTAGCTTCACTCGTAACCAGCTTCCAGCCACAGTCGCATGGTGTCAACCGAGCCTGGCGATTAACAAAGCGTCGGTCGCCCCGATGACGCCTACGACGTGCCCCACCACCGGTGCCTTTCGGTTCATCGAGTCAACACGGTAGCACCACGACGACGCTGGCATAAAGTCTATGTAGACCACGACGACGTGTGGTACCTAACCTCACTATACGACTGGAAGAG